CGTCTGTTGTTTGAATCGCAGCTTTTCTGGTATTTCGCCTCCGAGTAGGATCACCATTTCCATTGTTGCTGCTGGATTCCCGGCTTCCTTCCAAATTGTACTGCGGCAAGAGGGCACGTTTACGAAGAGGTCGGCCTGTGTGTAAAGGATCCTCCTCGTAAATTAAACAGGCGCAGAGCGATCCTTTGGACGATTGGAGGATATGGTCTAATGCGGGCCTGTTGTGAATTGGGGGCCAAGAATATAGCCGTTGACGACAGGAAGGATTACAGGCACGGCACAACCTGGACATTGTGGTTCTAGGCGCCTGCCTTTTTACTTTACAGGTTACGTAGTAAGTGCTTCAGGATCAGAAGGAGTTGTAAAACAAACCTGTGAAATTGTGAAATCCAGGAGGAACAAAGGAGAGGGATCAGAGGAAAGCGAGCTCGGGGAATTAGTGGAGACCGAATGCGCGGTGACGAAGAGAGCTTCGATCGCCTAGGTCCCATATGTGTTGGATTCCAGGGAAAGATCATCCTTTGTCGAAAATCCTCTCTCTCCAACTCCCTCTTTTGATAAAAAAAAATTGATACGACCGTCGCGCGAGACGTGGCAGACGTTGGGCAGGTGGAAGGTGCTCTATTTTGAGCTTCTCCGTAGCCTTCTGGTGTCCTGTCAAAGTGCATATATTCTCTCAACAAGAAACAGAGGCACGAAATGCATGGCGCCCCCGCCTCTCTGTTATCTTGTTTCTGTTTGTGTGTCGTGTGTAACCACTCGATATACCCAGTATTTCTGGCCCTCGTTTGCCTTTTGAGTCAACCGTCCGAGCAGAATTGAGCGGCTTTTGAAAACTATTAACATGAATCACCAATTGTGTGTGTGTATGCGTTTTTTGCCTGCTGTTGATGAGGTTTCCTCATACTTTCGTATGATGGCTGCCAAGTAGTTACTACCTACTACTCAGAACTCATCGAGGCTTCGTGTGGGTTGAGTTTATGGATTGTCCGTTTCTAGATGCAAATCCCTCCAGCGAAGACAATACTGACTTCATGACAAAAATCTGGGGAAGAGGTTCCCCATAATAACAAGGATTCTACAAGAAGCTTCTGACGTTTCCACAGTCTCACGGCGGCCGTCTATTCTGGTTACTATGGTGCGTCCAGATGTTAGGCTTTCACAGTTAATACATTTAGGCGCTAAGACGTGTCAAAGGGTTACATCGACAAAAACGTTTCAACCGTTCAACGATTCTCTTGACCGGGAATGTTTGGACCGACGGGGCCCGCGGGGGTCACATTTCAAATTCACAAAAAGACACAAATCCGACGCGTTCGGACGGACACAACCAGACACCCTGAGGGACACCGGAACTCGGGGCAATTTCTCGCCAGTCTTTTTTGTGCCTGCTTCGCTCGTTTGCCATTTGCCTGCTTTTCGCTTTTACTACGACAAAGCAGAGAACATCTCGGAGTCCGAAACCCAGAGACCGACACGGCGACGTTGCTAGTGTAAAAGTGAACCAGAAAACGAAACGAATCTTGCTAAAAAAAAAAAAAAAAAAAAAAAAAAAAAAAAGAAAAACAGAACAAAAGGAAAAGGACTTCGAATGATCACACCCAGAAAGGAAGCGATCATCAGATCGTCTTTTTGTTTGAGCCTTTTCGAGACCGCCGTCCAAAGTGGACACAGCGGACGAAAGAAACGCCGTCGGCCGTCTGTGAGTCGTCGGCAGGCAGGCTCTCTGCGCGTTATGCCTAATGAACACAGCTCGAGTGCGTGAAGACTTTGGGGGGGAAAGAAGGGAGAATGAGGCACGAGACGAAACGACGAGAACAAGACGAACAAAAAGCAATATGCTGCATGATCGAACCACACGACTAAGAGTAAGGCCGAGTGCTCCGGGAACGATGCATTGTGGCTGCAAACACGACATCAGATTCGACGGCCGGTTCAGGCATCCGCGGCAGCTGCCTGCATCACGAAAGAAGACCATGCAGGCCGTCGGATGTGCCGGTGGACGCCAAATCGACAGAGGACAAGGCGACGACAGAAGGAGAAAGGTGTCTGGGCAAGAAAACGGTTGGACACAATAGCGGTAGTCGCCATGTTCGGAGTATGGATACGGAGTGCGGAGTAAGAGGCAAGACGCGCTGTCCCTTGTACATTCATCGTTTCTTTTTTTAAAACTCCCCAAATATGAAGCTATCTCCGGAATGCTGGGTTCGAACGCTGTCACTGCCTGTATACCAAAATCCCCAACAGCGCCTTTTGGCAGGACTGCACCGCGACCTCTCTGCCTGTGTTTTTTGTTTATTTGATCCGCATCCACCGGCTGAAATCCCCGAATTGTCCGGGCTATTTTGTTGCCTGCCACCGGTATGTCAGTCTGCCAACTTTCACCACGTCGATCGTTGTCTTTCGCTGTCGGACGCGGAACGTCGGAGTGTGTGTTCACCGACTAGGTAGAAGTACCAAATACACAAAATACGTACTGAACCCAGGCGCATGGCAGGCTCTCCGTTTCCCCAATAATAATGCCGTGCATGCTCCGAACTTCAACGTTACCATCAGGTCGAAGAGTGGCAATGTGCATCTTTTGTGCCAGGACGATTGCTCTCGTATTTTGTCGATAGACCCCTGTTGTGTCCCCGACGTTTGACCGTCGAGGTCTGGGTTCTCCGTACATTCAGTTGTATGACTCCATACTTTCTTTTTCGTTTTTTGTTGTTTTCAGATATTCCAAATTCATCGTTTAGCTGCCAATCGGGACGGGGAAAGCAACTTAAGCCCGAGCAACAAATGGAGAAGCAAACGGTACGTTTGAGCGACCGTTTTTCCTATTGTGTGTTAGCGTCTACGTCCGTCGTCTCGGACCTTTCTCTACCTATATTTCGCAGTCTAGCGCCAAAACCATAATTTGGAATCGGTACAGAATACAGACCCCACTGTTTTCGTCACGTTTATCGCCACCGTTTTGACACTTTTGCGCGCCTCTTCTCTTAGCTTCCAGCTTCAAGCTTTCCCCACAGGATGTCTGAGGCGAAAAGCCAACCGACATTTAAACGACAAAATAAAAGGAAAAAAATAAATAAAAGGAAAAAAATAAACGGCCATCGTACAAACGCAACATGGAAATGCCAATGCACAAGACGACAATCGGCATACAAGACTCGACTAGAGCTTCTATTCAGAGCGCCGTGCTGGGCATCGTCGTATCCACAAGGACTTTTCGTTGGATAAAAGAGAGGAACATAAAACTTAAAACGGTGAAGACAAGGGACAGTTGGGATTTATATAAACACCCCCACCCTTTTCTGTCGCCTTCCTTAATAGGACACTCGTGTTTTTGGGGCCCAAGAGCTGAAGCTCACTGTAATGCGCGCTGTAATACCCGAAACTTTAGTGTGGAATCACGTCCACCAAGGCCAGCCGACACTTTTCTGCTCCTGTTCTTCTGCAGAAAAACGTGAGGCTACACGAAGCACATGCAAAAATATTCCATACGATGACGAGCCAGGCGAGCAAAATAAGGCTGGGCAAAGCTGCATTGCACCAGCATGTCTCGTGCTGTTCTGTTTACAGAGGTATTGCGCCGATGGGAAGCACAAGGGCACCATGTTAGGCGGCACAAGGCATGGCAATGGGACGCCACAAAACGACCAAAGAGGCAAAAGGGCCGTGTCTGTTCTTCGGCACGGATCACAGCGACAGGCTGACATGGCTGCCAGGGACTGTTGTTGGAGCGCCACCGATGCAGGGCGCCTGGGTCAGGCTAGGCCGGCAGGGCAGTCTTGACTGTGCGAGTCTGACCTGGTCTTGTGCTCTTTTGTTTGGCCCGTAGTTGAACAGCAGCGGGTGCCGTGTTGGAGCGACTGGTTTTTTGGCCAAGTTCGCCAAGTGCACCGCGTACGAGGCAGGCAGTCGTAAAAGGGCTTTCTAAAGCATGTCGTACAGTTCGAAAAAGTGCCTTTGCCTCGACATTGGAAGGATTTTTTTGTGGAATTCGTTCGGATGCCAAGGTGCTCATGGGACGTGATAGGCCCTTGCTCCGAGCAAAATGAGGAAGTCGCAATGCAAATGGACCAAGGGGTGAAAAGGGGTCTTCGCGACATCTTGCAGCTCATAAAAAAACGTGCCGATACGGGGGAAACGAAGAGGATGGGACATCCTCGAAAAAAGGACGGGTGGAGATGACCTATACTTGAAGGGGTGTAATGAAAGGTGGAAACGGCAGAGGGCGACGACACGTCAAATGCCGCACATCATCGGATGCCATTGGTGGTTACGACGCGTGCGGCTGGACGCTAAGGCCGGTCGTTCTCGTCGTTGTGTTGGCAAGGTCCTGGCCTGGATCACCTGTTGCACGACCAGCTCGCAGGGATTGTTTTGTGGTACCATGTTGGACCTCGTTGAGGTTTGTACTGTGGTAGACACTGCTGGCGACAGTCGCCAGCTCCATAAATATCCATTAAATATTGACCTCCGAGTTGTTCACGCGGGTGAGGAGGCGCTTGGCGTGCATGATATTGTTTTTTTGCTTTATTTCGGGTTTCAAAATGTTGCCGGTTCTCATTTTTTCTTCTTTTTTTTCTCGGAACACGATCGCACTATTGATTTGTTCGTGCTGACGAACTCTGGCTGTCAGCACTCTAAACTGGGGCTGTAGGGCTGAAAAGAAGGGGGCGGGCTGACATCGTCAGCACGAAGAAACCGTAGCAATGTGGAAAACGTTCGAGAACGAGTCCGGGACGTGAGAAAAATGCACAGTGAGAGTGCCAAGTGCGCCGATTGCATTGGTTCGTTTTGGTTTTCTCTCTTGCTGTCAGCACTTGTCCCCAAAACCATCGCGGCCATATTCACATGTTAATTGCAAACGCGAGATACGTCATCATCCGTTTCATTGCTATGAGTCGACAAGCAACAAGCGCGCAGCCCATATGCTTCCCCAAGAATGAGGAATACTGTTTTCTTTTTGTTTTTCAACACTTGGTTCGTGTGAGCCCGAGCGCCTGGCGTCACGTATCCTCCTCGGCCTGCAAGGTCCGGCGGCTAGTACGCTTGCGCTGTCCGATGTGCTCCCAGGTCCAGCGCGAGCCGCTGTCGGCCCAGTGGTCCAGGCTCTCGCTAAGAAACATAAGAACCTTGCTGAAGAAGAACAGACTCAGAAACGAGACGCTGGCAATGACGGCAAAGGCGCCCCAGTAGGTACGAGCGGTGTAGCCGTCGGTGAGGTCGGGGATCTGAACGGAAAAGTAGCTGGTCATGAAGGAGATGGGCAGGAAAAAGACGCTGAGCTTGGCGAGCAACGTGGCGCTGCGGGTGAGGCGCTCGGTGGAGCGGGAGTCCTTTTGGGTGATGAGATGAAAGTACGTGTCCTGCAGCGATGCCTTTTCGTCGAGACAGTCCTGGATGGCGTCGAGCATGAGGGACTGGAGTTGGACTTGGAGGCGCCGAAACCGGTTCACGGCTTTGGGGGAGAGAAAACGGGGAGGGGCATCGCCTTCATTACCTGGGCCTGGGCTTGTCACTGGCTCTCCGTTGTTCCTGGCCTCTGATTCAGTACCGTTGCGGCTGAGGAGGCGGTCGATCAGAGTATTGTAGTTGGAAAAAAGATGCTGCAGCTGGCGCATCTCCTTGTTAAGTTTGTACAAGCTGGGAATCACATTGGTTGTGTCATCCCTTTTTTTCCAGTCCTACATAACATGTTAGTATTCGTGTGTGGAGGATTTTCTTCCTCCTTTTTTTTCTTTCTTTCTTTCTAAAGATATACGTAGACTCGACTGTGCCATACCGCAGTTCGAAGAACAATGCTGCTCTGTGAGCGGTTAGCAACCAAATTATTTGCGGTGAAATGAGGACGCGTACTACTTGGGAGACTTACAATATCGTCGAGGGCCGCCTTGGAGCTGTTCAAAACATCAAAGGCGGCCGTGTAGTCTTCAAAGAGGTAGTAGAACAGGTTGCTCGCGCCCTCCACACCCTGGGCAGCTGCACTATCTGGCCATGGACCGCGCCGCCCCGGCTGGCGGACTGAGGTGAGTTGCGAGAACTTGTGCTGGTCCTCCTTGAGGCCCCATTTTGACAGCTGGCGGAAGACCTTGAGCGTGTTGGAGCGCATGTGCCCGAGCTCTTCCGTTTCCCACGCCTTCCGGTCGGCAAATTTGGGTGTCTTCTCGTAGTATGCCGCCTCGTGAAAGCAGATGACCGTATCTACTCATGTTAGAAAGAAGAAAGACACTCGTGAGAGGCCACAGCGATGTGCATTGACGTACGATCGTCACATAAGACGAACCAAGACCAGTGCTTTGGCGGTACCAGGCTTGTGCTAGGTTTCGTTTGGCCCTTGGGTCGTTGGTGCAGCCAGTTGGCTCCTATGCAGACGACTTGCAGCCGGGGGTCAGTATATATGGGATTTCCTTTTTTTTTTTTTTTTTTTTTTTTTTTTTTTCGGTTGACAGCGGCAGAGGGGTATCAGCAAAACATACAATGTTGCTCTTGGTCAATGGTGGTGTAGTTGAGGCTGCCCTGCATGATCTGAAAGACAGCCTTGTTGCTGGAAACCATGGCGTCGAGGGCATCGTCGGCGGCGGACGCCAGGGCAGCACCACCGGCAGGCGGGCTTTCCGGCGCGGCAACAAATGAAGCACCAAACTTGCCGTCGCTGTCAACACCGTTCGACGCCGGAGAGGCTACAGCGGTAGCCACGGCGCCTGTTTCAATGTCGACCACTGACTGTGGTGGGGGTGGAGGTGGTGCTGAAGCCTGCGGGGGCGAAGGACGTCGCCAAAGTTCCTCGGCGGACTTGGCCTCGAGCAGTTTCGCCTTGACTTGGTCCCAGGCCCAAATGCTCATGGTGAGACGGCGGGAAAAGTGGTAGCGCCGGCCGATGGCTTCGACGATGCCCTGCTGGGCGCTGGGATTCCAGACGTTGATCCAGCGGACTGGGGCGGATGGATGACGGGGCACAAAATTGTCGCCGTCACCGTCGCCCTCGGCGAGCAGCTGGAGGATCTGCGTCTCCGACAGGTCAACGGCCACGCGGGCCGTGGTATCACCAAAGTCGACGACAAAGCTCTTGGCGGAGGCGGCAAATGCCTCAGCCACCACCTGGGCGTAGACGGCCGCATCGTCAAAGTCGCGGAAGACATTGAGGATGTCGTCTGGTGGAGGCTGAGGAGGTGGAGAGTAGATTCTGTCAAACGATGGCTCTGGCATCCGTAGGGGGTTGACAGATGCACCGCCTGAAATGGCGGTGGACGGTGTTGCCATGATCGTGGTTGTGGCCGCTATGACGTATTACGGTGGCCAGCGTATTTGAGCGCTTTACAGGACACGGAGAGAAAAAGGCGGCGATGACAGTCTCCTTGAAGCTCTTTGTCATCTGGGTGACACCAGATAATAAATAACCACGTGAGGAAAGAACGATGAAGTTATCTCAGGATAGAAGGAGCGCCTGAAGAAAACAAAAGAGGGAAGGAGCCATGGAGAATGAAGACGCAGCCTTGTCTTTACGCTATCAGAGCAGGACCTCTGTAAAGATCTGCGGTGGAAAGAGGGTCGAAATCATGGTGGTGATCAGCCTCGGTCACCATCAGCTGGATGGTGGACTTCTTCTACCTGCTGGCGCAATGAGTGCATGATACGCAACGGTGATTCGTCGCGTGTTCAGCCTCCACGAGGACAAGTAATATGGGGTCAGCCGTTGGGGGCATCTCACGTTCCTGGCACAGCCTTCCGGCAGCAAAAGCGTACGGGAAGGGGCGTTACACACAAATGCGAAGTGCAGGCTTGACTTTGTCGCAGTAAGAAGGGCTGCAGCTGTATTCATGTACGTCAAGACTGATACATGTAATGAAGGAGTACCTTGTCTCTCTCCAGTTTGGTAAATGCATCTTTAGATGAGGCGTCGTGCTGGAGAGTGTCTAATGTCATGGACGCGACTTGCCCTGCATTTTGGCCTCCTCACAATTTGGCAGCTTTTCGTTTTTACTGTGGTCTTTTCTTTCAGGAACGATTCGTTGTGGTTAAAAGTCGTTTTGTGGATGACGGGTACTCCAGACTGAAACATGAAACACGGGGTCGAGCCCAGGATTACACTGTGGAATGGACAGGATGACGATGCGGGAGCAGAAATGAAAACCAAACTACGCTTTCGAAGAGATACGAAGAAATCAACTATGGTCAACGGACAACACTTGTGACGAAGACACAAAAAAAAAGGTGTCTGGCTATTCTACATTTGAAGCGTGGACGCTGGGATTGGGGCTGCCCGGATCAGAAGAACCTGTTTTGCCTTTTCGGGGCTTTAAACAGAGAGTACGGCATGTTTGCGACGGCAGCCAACGAATCAGTGATGGGACGATGACGGGACCACGAGTTTGTATCTTAGGATACGGCAAAAATACCACGCGAAATGAGGCTTCAGTGCAGGGAAAGACATGGTGTTTTTGTCTCGGCAATATTTCAGGCATTTTGCTTTCTCGTTATTTGTGTTGAATGGCACGATCTTGAGTGACGTGAAGGAATACTTTTGGCGTTTTCAACGCTGTGCTTTGGCGGAGCCGTCATGTTTTTAAGGTTGAGCGTAAATTGCTTGATCTGCACAGTAATAAGCGGTTGCTGGATCCTGGATTTCCTGATCTCCTGAGGCTCCTAGGTTCCTGGGTCTTCTGGGTCTTCTGGGTCTTCTAGATTTCCTTGATTTCCTTGATTTCGTCGAGTTTGGCGTCTTTGACTTCCTAATGTTCGTCCGTCCTTATGATCGTCGAGTAATGGTTCTCTGGTGATGGCCAAGTTGAGGCGATTGCTTCAGTCGACACACGGACCCCACTTACACGCTGAAAGGGCATTAGCGGCTGGCGTCCGAAACTCTAAACTTGTCAAAGGGGACGGACCCTGGCCGAGCTTGAATGGCCCGCTCTGGCCACCCAGCCTTTTGTGTTTGGCAATTTGAACGACGGAGAGCGTATGGATAGCGAGGAGCGTAAAAGACCTTGAGAGGTGTGCTTGTCGTGTGTTTCATGTGGTTGGTCGTTGCTCCTGGTCGCAGCACGAGAGTTTGGACGAGACTGCTCTCTCCGTTTGCTGTTGTTTTCCCCTGGTCTCGCATGTCCCATTTCTCAGTTTGTCTTTTTCCTCTTCTGCACTCAGGCTTGTCTCGGCTTCGTAAAATATAGGTTGGCCGTGGCCCATCGTCGTGTGGCAACTCCTGACTTGTCTCGGACGTCTCTGTTTTTTGTTTTTCATCGTTTCTTTCCTTATTTTGGTTGTCGTGTATCCTACCTTTTCTTTTTGATTTTCTCCTCCCGTCTCTTCACTTCTTCTCCTCTACCTGACCTCGTCCGCCACTTTATATTTGCTTCTCCTTCTTCGCTTCTTCCCGTCCAGCTGGTATCTCGGACCTTTTGCACACAACTCAGCCTCCTCCAAAATAGCCGCCTGCGCCTGTTATTCCCTTCAACTTCATACTCTGTCTTAATTGCTCCCTTGCGTCTTTACGCCTTTGCGTCTTTTTTTTGTTTTTGGGTTCTCGTCTTCCATAGTACGCCTTTTAATTTTGCCGCTGGTCGCATAAACAGTCGTTTTATCCCACATCAATATCCTTCCATTCTCTCACGACAAAACAAAATCATAAAGGACAGTACTCAAATACGGCCAGGAGGACAACCAAACCTCCACAACTTTTCCTTTCTATTCATCTCCCTTTCCTTTGTTATCATGCCTTCTCAGACGACGGCCCGCCAACGAGCGTTCGCCCTGGCCGCCGCCGTCACGTCCCTGTCCACACTCGCCTCGGCCTCGTCCACCAAGGTCGCTTTCTCCGGCTGCCTCGGCCTCTGTGTCAACCACAACGGCTGCGGCGCCCGAGACACCAGCTGTGTCTGCGCGGCGTCGGCCCAGACCGCCTTCCTCGGTGACGTCGTGTCCTGCGTGGCCCAGTTTTGCCTCTTGAGCAACGGCGACGCCAGCGCCGCCACGGCCAACAGCGTCATCGGCACCATCGACGCCCAGTTTGTGGAAGTCGTGGCCGACGTGTGCGCAGCAGACAAGCAGAGCGTGCCGGCGAGCCGTATCAGCGCGGCGCTGTCGTCGGCGAGCAGTCTGGTATCGGCGGTGCTGGGCGTCGCGCCGACGGCGACAGGGGGCACGACCACCATAACAACGCACGCCACGACGACCATCTACCGGAGCACGCACACGGCGCAGGCCAAGACGACCAAGACGCTGCCAAACGGGGGAGCGACGTTCTTGTCGTCAACGTTGCCATCCGCTGTGGAAACAACCACCTCGGCAACGACTGCACCGTCACCGCCGCCCGCCACGTCGTCTCCGGCGCCCGAGCCGACACCCGCGACAACGTCCGACCAAAACGACACAACGTCCACATCAACAACCAAGACGGCCGCAACGGCCACGAAAGACGCGCCGGCAAGAGACACGACCGACTCGTCGCCGTTTACCAACACAAGAGAGGACTCGGCTGCACGGGCGCTTGCACCAGTGCCATGGCAGGTTGTGGCTGCCGCAGCTCTTCCCCTACTGTTGACACTGGGGACGCACCTGCTATAAATGCATGACATTGCACGGTGTACGATTAATACGTGGAGGGATAGTATTGGCGTATTTCTTGTCTATTTTTGTTGTTGCTTTTTATACTCATTGGCGTGGAGTCCCTGGTCCTGTACGATAATTTAGTAGACGACGGCATGAATCATACACGTTAATCAAACGGCCAGTCCATGAAAAAAAAATGTGTTGTATTTGTAACTACACGTTTTTCTCGCACAGCCATGGCTCTAGAAAGGCACGCGCTGTGTAGCCCAAAGCACGCCGCAGCCCTCGCCATGGACGTGCTGTCCCTGCTCACCGGTTCACCAGCTTCGCCACAGCCGACAGGGCCTTGGCTTCCCGCGGGCTCACAAACAGGCCCTCCGCCTCGGCCAGCAGCGCCCCCGTTTCTGTGTCGGGGTCGGCCGGGTCGCCCAGCACCTGCAGCCGGCCCCGCACCACCGCCTTGCGCCGGTCGACCTCGACCGTCTCGGCCGTCAGCACCACGTAGGTGCCCGCCAGGGTCGGTGCACGGTAGTCAATGTTGAGCCGCGCCGTCATGGCAATCCCGTGCGGCACCGCCTTGAAGCAGCAGCGCGCCATGAACTCGTCGAGCACGGTGGCGACGAACCCGCCGTGCACAATGTTGGGGTGTCCGCACAGCCCCCGGCCGACGTGCATGATCATGACGAGGCGCTCGCCGCGGTCGTCCTGCCACGTCAGCGGCGGGACGGCCATCAGGTCGGGGCCGACGAGCGTGCCGGCCGTCAGGTTGCCGTGGCGGTACAGGTGCGGCAGCTTGTAGTGGGGGTGGGTGGGTTTGAGGTCGGGGTCGTCGTTGAGCTTCTGGACGAAGGGGTGGTCCAAGAGGTACTCGGCGATGCGCTCGGCCGCGAGCTCGTCCTCGAGGCTATCAAACTCGGGCTCGTAGACGGGGCCGTTGGGCGCATAGTATCGCCTGACGATAATGTAGCCGACGAACTGGCCGACAAATAGGTACAGCGTGGCGCGGACAAGGAAGAAAAACGCACGCACGGTGCGGGAGCGCTTCTTGGGTTCTGGCTGGGGTGGTGGAGGCGGTTCGTAGACGGATTGTGCGTAGGGTGAGGCGGAAGAGGAGTATACTAGGAGTTCGGTTTAGTGCTGGCACGTGCTGGGAGAGCTTGCAGGGTCACTTACATCTGAAGTTCGCGAAGCCAATCGCAGATGCGGAAGGTGTTGACCGCAATAAAGGAACGAGGACTCGCGCGTGTGAGAGCACGCCACAGAATCGTAGGGTCTGCTGCAATGGCCGCTGCTGGCTTTGCTTCTGGAAGAGGGGGGCAGAGAGAGGTGACTGCCGGAGCAGTAATGGCCGGACGGTCACAGAAAGTGCGCGTTGCGTCGACATTGCGAAAGAGGTCCGCAAACGGCCAACAGCAGCCAATTGGAACGTGGAAGCCGCGGTTTGCCAATAGTTCGTATCCAGGAAGAAGGAGGCCCAGCCTGGGGTTCCTCGTGCTCGCCAGATCGTTGTCAGTTGAATTGTGTGAAGCCGGTCATTGCGCCTTATTTTCGCCGAGGCTCGATGCGATGGCCGGACGGAAGATGCGCGCTGTGATTGGCCCGTTTGTGCCGGTGAACGCAGCGGGCAGGTCCCCTGTAATACGTCGTACCTGGCTAGATTGTGGCTGATGGAGGCACCGCCACGAAGGACGTTTCAGGCCATATCTTGTTTGCACGGAGAGCTGGTGCGGGGCCAATACTATGCGCTACAGTAACACTGCCGTCACAGCACTCTCTAGCAAGCTGTCTGATACGTCACTCCTGAAGATCTGAACAGAGGTGACGAGGGGGGCGTCATCCCTCGACCCCGTTTCTCTGTTGCATTTCGTCATTCGTTTTGCATGTTTGTCGGCCAGGATATGCCAGGATACGCAGGACGTATTTCTTGGTTGTTACAGGATTCCAATTGACTACAAATAAGCCGTCTTTTTCTCCAAACACTTTCCTCTTCCTCGCAACAACGGAAATCGACGAAACGCAAACTATCACAAACTTTAACACAAACGAATTAAAATGGTGGGTTGAACTGGACTCGGGTGAGGTCGTCAATGGATCTACCGCATCTCAGAGCCGAGTGTAACACGTAACAGGCTACCAAAGAGACGTCTGATCTCGGCGAGGCGCATGTCCCCAAGGCGGCATCCGTCACGGCCTTTGGCGAAATCGAGCACGAGCTCAAGACGCAGCTCGTCCACCTGCGCCACGAGCACGACAAGCACGAGCCCGAGAGCTTTGCAGTGGCGGTACGTTTGCTCGCAGCAGAACCTGGAGAAACATAGATCCGTCTGCGAGTGTTTGTTGACTGACGTCTTTGTGATTAGCGCAACATCAGTGATCACGACCTGGCGTCGTTTTCGGCTGACGACTTTGTGCTCGTGCGCGTGGCCTCGACGGCGTATGGCTTGATTCTGTTTGGCAAGCTGCGCATTCCGGCGCTGGTGCAGAGCGGCAGCCGCACCGCCTATGTGCACTTCCGCGCGTTCTCCGAGGGCCCGGACCAGCCGGCCAAATTCCACAGCTTCCACACGGCCGACATTGAGTCCGCCGACGGACACAAGTCGTTCCGGTCGCTGTTTGCCAAGGACGACCCGCTGGACTGGTTTGATGCGTAGGACGGCGCGGTGCCGTGGCGACGTGGCGACGTGGCAAGGCGAAACAGGATACCAGACAGAGGGAGATGAATGCGATACGTTTTGTGAAATGCTATGCTAAATTGTACAATTTTGAACCCGACTGTAAATGGCAAAGGGCAAATCGCCCCGTCTAAATGAACCAACACCAATCCTTCTCTTTCCCCTAGTAATCCTCGTCCTCCTCTTGGCCGAGCATCTCGGCGTAGTCTTCGACCGAGGCAAACGTCGGCAGCGCCTTGAGCTCCTTGCGCCGCTCGCGGCCCGCCTTGCGACCGTTCTTGCTGGCTAGCGACACCAGACCGTCCTCGTCGGCGCCGGCAGCGCCCTCTTCGTCGCTAAAGTCGGCAAAGTCGGCAAACTCAACGCCACCGTCGACGTCCATATCGTCGCCGGCGGCGGCACCAGCTCCCTCCGCACCGTCAAACGCGTCGTCGTCGAGGTCGTCATCGTCGTCATCGCTGTCCGACATGTTGAGCAGGTCCTTGAGCTCCTCGAGATCGTCGTCGTCGTCGTCATCGTCCATATCCATGTCCGGATCGGCGCCCTCGTCCTCGCCCTCAATGTCGGGCCGCGAGCCCTTGAGTGCCTTCCAGATCTCCTCCTCTTCAGCATCCGAGACGTCCTCGCCGCCCTCCGCTGAAGCTGCAGCAGCTCCGGCTTTGGCGGCCGCCTTCTCCTGCTTGGCCGCGCGCTTGGCTGCACGGCTCGTCTGCGACTGCTTGCCAATCTGCGAAAAGTACGTGTGGAAGAAGATGTCCTCGGCGGCCACGTTCTCGGCCTTTTGGCCCCAGAAGGCCGCCGAGTTGATGGCCACCGTCTGCTTGGAAGCGCCCGACGCGCCGCTGGGCGCCACAATCTGCGCGGCGCCCGTCATGCTGCCGTTGCTGGCCGCCACGGGCTGCATAATGGATGCGCCACGAGCCTTGGACGCCGAGGCATCGACGGCCTTGGCGTTGCGGTACACAAACTTGTCCAAGAAGTGCATGAGCGTGTGGTTGGCCATGTCGGGCTTCGGCAGCGACTTTTGCCGCACCAACAGATTCGTGGCAAAGGCCGTGACCGACGGGTGGAAGTGCTGGAAGTAGGGCACAAGCTCCCAGAGGCAACTGTTCTGGGCGTTGCTGTACGAGGGGTCGCGCTTGCGGCCGTCGTAGACGGGGCGCTTCTTCTCCTCGGCCTTCTTCGCGTCGTCAGCCTGCTGGGCCGCCGCCTCGTCACCGTCTTCCGGCACATCCCGGTAGTACTCCTCCTCGTCGTCGTCGCCAAACTCGGGCTCGTTGAGCAGGGCCTTGAGATCCGGGAACGTCGCTTCGAGCTCCGCCACCAAGAACAGCACGCCGCAAATAAACGGCGGCTGGTGCAGCGTCGCAATCTGCAGCATGCGCTTGACAAAGGCCTTGACCCGGCGCACGTCGACGTCGTTCTTGAGCGCCCGGAACAGCAGGTTGAGATACATGCCTTGCTTGGACGACATGATCAGGCGCGGGTCCAGCAACGACTCGTATAGCGTGCGGTAGAAGCGGTCCACCGAAATCTGCTTCGAGCCGGCCACCTGCTGCACCAGCATCAGCGCCTGGATGCTCGTGTTGAAGTTGGACGAGTGCGTGATGCGGAACAGCGTGTCCATGTGCTTCTCGAGCGTCGTGTTGTCCGTGTTGGCAAATGGGATCGCGCGGTTGACACCCGTCAGCAGCGCCGACACGAGCTTTTCCGAGACGTCCTTCTCGGTGCCTTCGTTCTTATCGGCCGCGCTGCCGCCCTTCTTGCCGTCTTTGCCAGCCTTGGTCTTGTCGTTGTAGCTGCGCTTCCACTTCTTCTTGCTGTCTTTGGCAGCCGAGTCCTTGGCCGCGTCCGCGTTCTCACCCAGGTTGTCGGCGCCGGGAATGTCGATGGCGCCAAGTGTGCCGCTCTTGAGCAGCGTCAAAAACAGCTCAAAGTACACCCGCACCAGGCTGTCCGCAATCGCAGGCTCCTTGTTGCTCAGAATCGTCTGGTTCAGCGTGTTGATAGCGTAGTATTTGGCGCGTAGGCTCTGGCCGGGCCGCAGCAGAATCTCCTGCTCAATCGTCTGGACCACAATTGCCTTCATGCCCGGATGTGTCGTGAGCAGCTGCAGCAACAGATATGATGCACGCGACGCGATCTTACGCTCGCGGTCACCGAGCTTGTTGACCAGCAGGCGTAAAAGGTTGGCCTCTTGCTCGGGCTTGCTGCGCAGCAGGCCGAAAACAAAGTCGAGCGAGCGCGAGCGAGAGTATTCGATCTCATCGTTGCACCACACTTCGAGCTGCTGCAGCATGCGGAAGAAGGCATCCTTGAGCCAGTCCTCGTACTTCCAGAGCATCAGGTGTGCCTTGGTGATGCCGCCGGGCAGCGGCAGGTGTGGCTTCCAGGCGAGTACGGTCGCAGGGCTCTCGGACTGCAGCGCGCCCAGCAGCGCCGGCTGGGCATGGAACGACCGCAGGCGGCGGTCGCTGGGCAGGACAACGCCATTGCCGAGCAAATCGACCAGTGCGCCGAGCGCAGCAATAGCGGCGCCACGGCTGCGCTTGCCTGCCAAAGCCAACAGGTTCTCAAACGCCTTGCTGTTGTGGATGGGCGCCTCCTGGACCTCGAGGGTCAGCGCAGAGACTTTGTCGGACATGGTACCGGAGGTCATGATGGTGGACATGAAGCGGTGGGACGAGGAGGCCGAGGTGATGGTGCGGTAGGCGTTGGCGTCGGTCTCGACGAGCGTTTCGGCGTAATCCGCGAGGCTTTTGATGGTGTGCGAGAAGCGGCCAATGTCGTCCGATATGGGGGCCGGGAGGTCGCCGACGTCTGCCGTGTGCCACTCAGCGCGAGGCTCAAGCATCTGTATGGTTAGCAGTGTGAAGGCGCAGAAGTAGCAAGCTGTGCATGTCACGTACCAGCTGTGAGAACTTGGGGTTTCTTGGCAGAAACGGATCCGTAGATGGGACAGCCTTGGGTGTTGCAACGACTGGCGGCGGTGCATGCTCCTTTTCCTCTTCGTCCTCCTCGTCTTCTTCGTCTTCGTCTTCGTCTTCCTCCTCTGCGTCCTCCTCTTCCTCCTCAACCTCTTCTTCTGCTACCTGCTCCTCTACTTCTTCCTCTGCAGCTTCATCGTCTTCGTCTTCCAAGCGCACTTCGTCAAAGCCCAGACCAGCCGCAAACTTGGCCAGTTCGCTCTGGAAGGCCGCGTCCAGCGACATGTCTTCCTTGCCGCCCACACTCGCGCCACCGTCTTCCGCATCCGAGTCAATGCCGGCTACCAGGTCAAAGTCGTCTTCGTTGCCACCCAGCAGCTTGATCTCGTCGAGCATGACCGTCTTCTTGTCGGTGGCGGCAGCCGGGGCCTTCTCTTTCCGTCGAGGCTTCTCGTTCGTCGGCTGCTTCTTTTGTGTCTTCTGCGTCTTCTGCGTCTTCTGTGTTCGCTGCATCTTGTCGACAGCCCCGTCGTCTTCGCTGCGTTTCCGCTTGCCGCCGTTGAGATTCTTGGCATTCCGAGTCTCAAGGTCGCGGTCGATCTGGGCCGTCAACTGCGTAAGCGACGCCTGGCTGAAGGCGCCCGCCGAAGCGTTGCCGTTGGCATTGCCAGCCTTGCCCTTTGACGCCTTGGACATGTTCGGAGCCATATTGTGGGGGGTGGTAGGCGGTGCAAGTCGGCCTGGGTGTTGTCGGGTGGTTGAGGCGTAGTTCGAGAAACGAATTGACCCTGCTATCGCGATTTTTGACTGTTTTGGCAGGGCGTCGCTCTTTCCCAAGAAACTTTTTTTCGCCAGGCTTTTTCTGCCCCATTTTCGAAATTTTAGCGGGGCGCCTTCCTCAATGGCGCCGAAGGTGTCCCTCACCGCTTTCCTAATTTGCGATTTCCAGTCCATTGGCGCGGGAAGTCGCTGTTTTCGACGGAGGAAGGTGCTATTGGCGGTCGTTAGCACCAACGGTCACTGACAAAAGCGATATGCCACTATTCAGGTACATCCAAACAGCAAAACATATCTATGCCAACGGCAAGCCTCGACACGAGCAACCACCACAGGCCGCTGTTCGGTTCCTTGGTCCGATCCAATGGTATAGGCACTTGAGCATTAATTATAGCACATAGACTGCTCGGCAATGGCCCTCCGGTCGGCATTCCGGCCGGCATTACGGCCGTCCTCAAGGACATCGACGGGCGACATCTGCCCATTTGCGCCATTGACGCGACAAGCAGTAAGCAAGAGGCTTCGGGTCATGTACAGAGCTTGGAATGTACAGTCTGAAGAGAACAGTTGTCTAACCAGACTGCAGAAACGTCGGATGCAGCAGGACCACCGGAACAGACTGTCCAACATTTGGCTGCCGGCACCTCAAGTCTTCCTGAAAGACGCCAAACATGACGAAGGTACGTTTCCAAGAGTCGTTGACATTTAATTGATACCAATGTCTCCCTTCTAACGGCCCCAGAATCCCATGCAAAGCTCATACGAGCGGGCTTCTTCCGCCAAGCGCATTCGGGCGTCTTCCACATGCTGCCAATGGGGCTTCGAGTCCAGGACAAGATCGAGGCGCTTGTGGACAAGCACATGAAGGCCATTGGCGGCTCGCGGGTGTCGCTGTCGAGCATTTCGTCTGCGAATCTCTGGGCACGAAGCGGCCGCCTGCAGAATGTGCAGTCAGAGGTATGTTGGTGAGATGGGTGTCAGGCTGGAAACGCCAAAGGTGAAATGCGGCTAACATTGATAGTTGTTCCAATTCGCCGATAGAAAAGAAGCCAAGTATCTGTTGTCGCCAACGCACGAGGAGGAGATTACCGAGCTGGTTTCTCAGAACGTGCGGTCGTACCGCGGCCTGCCCTTGCGGCTGTATCAAATTAGTACGTTCAGCAGTCTACCCTGATATGAAGCGCCGTCATCTAACCGTCTGCCAGCCCGCAAATACCGCGACGAGATGCGTCCACGGCACGGCATCCTGCGCTCACGCGAGTTCCTCATGAAGGACATGTACACCTTCGACGCCTCGGTGGAGGACGCCATGGCCACCTACGATCATGTTCGCGCCGCCTACGCAGCCATCTTTGCCACCCTCAAGGTGCCTGTACTCGCGGCTCAAGCCAGCTCAGGCGACATGGGCGGCAATCTGAGCCACGAGTACCACCTGGCAGCCTCTCTAGGCGAAGACTACGTTGCTCACTGTAGCAGCTGCGATCTGGTGGCGAACACGGAGGTGCTGGAGGCAACCGTGGCTCCCAAAGCAGCAGGTCTTGAAGTCAAGTACGCTCAGGCGTGGCGCGGCATCTCGCGCAACCACACGACGCTCGTCAATGTATGGTACCCGGCCGAGGCCATCAATGCAGCGACGGGCGAGACGGTGCGCTTGTCAGACGACGACATTGACCCTCACGCTGTCAAGGCGGTTGTGCCGGACCTGCACTCGGGCATCGAGAACGCGGCCGCTGCTTGGAATGGCGTGCTGGCCAAGCTCAAGACCGATACAGAGGCAGACACAGAACCTGCCAGCCGTCCCAAGATTGTCAATCTCGTCGACCAGCGACTCGTACAGAGTGACGGTTCTTTGGCTGCAGCGGTGGACATCAACACCCGTCAGTGGCCCTTGTTCGGTTCTACAACAACGGGCCATGCAGACGAGATCACCCGCTACTTTGATGTCGAAGCGCCTACCACTGCTGACGGCACCGGCCGCTCCCTCAACTTTGCCAAGCCGCGTACCGGCGACGACTGTCCGCGCTGCCACGGTCACGGCACGCTTGTCGTAGACCGCGCAATCGAACTGGGCCACACATTTTACCTTGGCACGCGCTACACAGCGCCCGAGGCCCTGGATGTCAAGATACCGGCCGAGGGCAGCGGCGCTGCGGGCGCGCAGGCCACGATCGTGCCCGAGATGGGCTGCTACGGCCTGGGCATCTCGCGGATCCTCGGCGCCGTCGCAGACCACCTGGCTGACCAGCAGGGTCTCAACTGGCCGCGGGCGATTGCGCCGTTCGAGGTGGCGGTGATTATGGCGCCGCCCAGGCCTTCCAAGGCCGGCGCGGCAAAGGTTCCGGCCCAAGCGGCGGTGGCAGAGGGTGTGTACGATATTCTGGCTGGCCGGACGAACGCGTCCTCCAAAGGCACAGCGGAAGCTGAACTGGACGTCGTGCTCGATGACCGCAATGGTGCGTCGCTGCTCTACAAGCTCAAGGATGCCGACCTGATGGGATACCCGGTGGTCGTTGTTGTGGGCATGGCATGGTTCAAGAGCGTCGGCACGGACGATTTTGCTCGTGCAGATAGTCTGCCGCTGGACGGCCTGGTGGAAGTGCAGTGCCGGCAGTTGGGCGTGAAAACGGAGGTGCCATTGCGAGATCTGCGAGCCTTTGTCGCAGGTTTGCTTGACCAACTGTAATGGACAGAGTGTACGATATGTAATGAATTTAACATTTTACTTCAAGCTGAGGATTACAGTAGGATGGCATCTATTATATTAATAAAAATAGAACATGGGCGGAAACATTTCAATTGCTATCAAAACCATGAAATTGAAAAGAAAAAAGAAAAACGAAAACACGCGCGTGCCGATGCCCAGTTGTAGTAGAAAATCCGCAACAAATATGAAAAGCAGAAATGAAAATGGAATATTTTACAGGCGGTCTTTCCCCTGTCCTTCCTCCCACACCCACAACCGTTCTACTGTTTCACAGACCAGAGCTCGCGCGACCAGCCCATCTCGCGGTTCTTCTTGGAGCTGGAACCGGGGCCCTTCTTCATGTCGCTCGTCCAGATGGCCAGCGCTTTGCTGCACGAGGCAAACGACTCGACAAGCTCCTTCATGTGGCCCGTCGACACAAGCACACCGGCCACGTCGCTGTTGTCGGGCGCCGCAACGACGGCGGCGAGCTCCATGCACTCGAGCAGGTAGTCGCGGGAGCTGGTGGTGCCGGCGAACTGCAGCGTGCTGGCGTAGCCGATGACGACCTGGGGGAGGTACGAAGCGCGCAGGAGGGTGTAGTCGGGGTTGTCTGGGAGGTTAGCATGTTGGCAAACAAAAAAAAGGGGGAAATCAGAAAGGGCAACGAGAGACGTACCATCCACCGAGTGGAGCAGCCAGTCTTTGAGGAGAGGCTTCATAAAACCCGAAATGTACTTGGCATTGTCGTCAATGTTGCCGGCAATGTTGCGGTCGCGGGCCGGGTCGGGCGCTTCGTTGATCATCATGTGGGCCATCATGGCGGTCGTTTCGAGGCAGTCCAGCGCGTTGACGAGGCACTCGAGCTCGAACAGCGGCCGGGCATGCGCCGCGACCTGGCCCTTGGACACATCGGTCGGCACGTCGTCGTCCATGGCCATGGCCATGTCGTCATCATCCTCAGCGGTGAGACGCGACGGCGGGCCAAACACATCGTCCCACCACGACGGGTCCGGTTCCTCGGGCAGGTCACGGCCAAAGCGAGTCTTGTGGCGGATGATCTCGGAGCAGGTGACGCGTGACGCCAAGATGCGCGCGGCCGTGAGGTGCGCGTTGCGCAAGAAGTACTTGTAGATGCGCACGCCGAAATCGCACGTCTCCAGTGCCAGGCCGTCCACGAGCATCATCCATTCCATAGACCGGATCAGCAGCTCGTCGGCCTTGTCGACCAGAAGAACACCGTCGGCGTCACCGGGCAGGTCCGCCGCCGTGCCAAACAGGCCCGTCTTGATGAGGCGGCCAAACTTGAGCGTGGGGGCGCTGTTTTGTAGCATGCTGAACTCGGTGCACGCGGGCTTGGCATTGCCCGCGCCCTCGTCCGCCTCGGCCTCGGCCTCGGCCTCGGTGACGTCGGCCAAGAACAGCTGTGGCAGTGTCTTGACAAATTTGACCGGGTCGAGGCCGAGCTTGCGCATCAGCAGCAACAGCCGCTGCTGCACGTCACGCTCCTCAATGTGGATCAGGTTGAGGGCCATGTTGGTGTAGCAGCGATCGCCCATGAGCTTGGACGCGTACAGCGGGATGAGTTCCTCGAGGCGGGCGAGCCGCAGGAAGCTGATGTAGCTCGCGACGGCGTGCTCCTCGGTCTGGTGGCGGCGTGCCAGCGGGCCCAGTGCGGCAACGTCCTTGCCCTTGCCATCGAGCTTATCGAGGGCGGACACGACAATGAGCACGTGGGCGAGAATGCGCAGGCCGTGGCAGTCGGTCGGTTCGATAAACTTGCCGTCGATGGCCGTGGTCGGTGTGGTGGTGGTGTCGTACTTGGGGATCAGCTTGGAGGGCTGTGTGGCGTTGGCATACTCGGCCAGCAGCAGGCCCTGCTGGAACAAGAAGCTGTCGAGCTTCTCGTCGATCATGGCGGCTTGGAGGGCCTTGGCCGGCGTGTTGGCAACGGCTTTGCTGCTACGCGCACGGCCGTCGCGATCGCGCAAAAAGGATGAGGGGGCGGCGGAAGAAGGCGCGGACGTGGATGGATGTGCGTGGCGTGGGGAAGACGACGTCGCATCGGACGCGTAGCCGACCGGCACGTCGCCGTGCAGGATAAGCAGCGAGTGGACGGCGGCCGAGTCGGCCTGGCGGATCAGGTAGGCATCAAACTGTGCGCGCAGCTCCGCGTTGTACTTGGCGAAGGCCATGTCGTCCCACGATGCGCCAACCGCTTCGACGCTGGCCAGGTCGCCCGACAGGATACCGTAGACGGCACGCTCGTGTTGGCTGGCGCTGCCTTCCTGGGACAGCCGGTAGCACATGCGGCGCCACAGCACGGTGGCCAGGCAATCGAATTCGGGAGCATCGTCGTCCTCGCCGGCCACATCGTCGTTGGCCAGCGGCAGCGCCGAGATGGAAGCGGCGCGCCAGACCTCGGTGCGCTCGACACACCAGTCGCGGATGTCGGTCATGCTCTTGCCGCGGCGAAGCAGCTCGTAGCACCCGAGCCAGATGGCCTGCTCAAAGAAGGCATCTTGCGGTGCGAGCTTGCGGCCGACCAGGCCCTGGCGCGTCACGACGTCCGGGTCCAGCTGCGTGACGAGGCGGTGCGGCGCGTCGAGGTTGGAGTCGCGCACATCCGGGCTGTTTGGGTCGAGCGGTTCGGAGGTGGCCAGGAGACGCTTGTGCTGCTTGATGGCGCCGCGGGTGTGCAGCCAGCCGTGGGCAAGGATCTCGCCGCGCTCGGCGTTGCGCTGCAGCTCCTGCACGACCTCGTCAATCTCCGGTCCGCTGCTGCTGGCGCTCGACTGCAGCCACTCGAGAATGGTCTTGCGCTCGCGGGCCTTGGGCTCGGACAGAACAAAGTCGGCCCAGTACTCGCGGCGAGACTGTGGCGGCTTGTCGGCGCCGCCTGAGCGGCGTATTGAGACTCCTGCTGATCCAGGGCCAGTCGTCGTCGCTGCTGCTGTCGACCTGTCGCGGTACCGCAATGGCAGCAGGCGCCGCAGCAGATCCCACGTCTGCGCCTCCTCTTCCCAGCGCTGGGCACTGGCTGCTGTGTCGTCGTCGTCGGAGCCCGCATCGTCCTGCCGTTGCAGCGCCGCCCGGTTGTCGATGTCCATGCCCCCGCCTGACCGCAGTCCTGATCGCAGTCCTGCCCGCCGTCCCGTCAATGTGTTTGTATTTCTATTGCTGCCAATGTTGTTTTGGCTGCTGGCGGTGCTCTCGCCGCTGCTGCCTCGTGCCAGCCGGGCGAGGCGCACCCGCTCGCGTAGCACGTCGGCTACCTCGCGGGCATAGCCGTAGTAGTGGTCGACGAGCTTGAAGATGCGGGCGCGCTGTTCGGGGGCCGATCCGCGGGCAATGACGCACTCGTCGAGGAACTTGGCAAAGATCTCGACCTCCTCGCCCACGTCCTCGCCCAGGTGCAGCTCGTCGGCGGGCACGAGGTCGCGCTCGTCCTCAATGTACGCCATGGCGGGCTGTGGGTACAGAGCCCGCGTCTGATGTGTGGGAAGTGAGGCCGGGTCGCATGCAGCCTCGTGAGCTGCAAACAGTAAATAATCGAGTCGTGATGGTTGCTTCGCAGGCACGGGCGAACCAGGTGCCACCGGGCAGCGATCCACTGGCAATTCAGCGGTCGTATTTGTCGACTTTGAGCGTCACCATGTGCTGCCGTGCATTCGTTGGCGGTATGTATGGTGGCTGCGTGGGTGTTGGCAGTGCACGATGCGATTGAATTGTCGTTGATTTGTTTTTCTGCCTTTTTTTTGGTGTTCGTCGAGCTGCCGCCTTAGTGGACCTGCTTGGTGCTGGAGCTTCCTTCTCTCTGTGCCTGGAGAGACCGCGACGCGCTGTGCACGTAAAGCGGTCAAGCTGTTCACGTGATCAGACCCACAGTCTGCACCGGAAATGTGCGCCTTAAAAGCACACGCCGAATTTTCTGCCTCTTTTCGAAATTTCTCTTCTTCTTTTCTCTTTATCAATGTCTTAAATCATCGGCTTTCATATTAGAGTCTCGGAGCAAGACCTTCACTGCTTGCTCAGGTTCAAACGGATCTCCAGCGTGCTCAATGAATGCCTAGAGTAACCATGCACTCTCCGAAATTGTTGCCTGAGGTGCATTCTTTTGCGCGGTTTAGGGGACGTTATATCTGGACGAGTGCACATCTCTTTGGCTCTATCTTTCCTAATTTTTCTACATCTGTCTGCTGTCTATCTCGGATCATTGCTTTTTGCGCTGCTGGAGCTTGAGACGCAGCAAGTCGGGCTTGGGACAGCTCACTGTCGAGGCTTTGTCGCCGTTGCGATTGTAAAACGTCTGGCAGCATTCGTAGAGTGCGTCGACGAGGTGCTCGCACTTGTCCTGGTTGTAGCCGTTCTTTGTGAGGCAGTCTGGGATGTCAGTCGCGTGTCAGATCAGAGCATCTTGCGGAGTGCATCAAGAGCTGGTGTCACCTTGGATCGCGCACTGCATTCGGTCGGTTAGTCTCGGTGGACAACATCACGGGACAGGGACAGGCGGCACTCACTGCTCGCGGATGGCACGGCGGGTCGGTCACGAGATCGGCCTCGAGCTTCTTGTTCGCCTGGGAAGCGGTTAGATGTCGTGGTCGAGTGATTGATTGTTCTGGACAGATTTGGGGGCAAATCGGCCGCCCGCCAGTCAACTTGCCATGCTGTCGTCGGTGGCCAATGGAAAGGTAAGCTGCGTGTGTAAACAAAGCTCTGAATGCACGGGACACTATAATGGAGAGCCGTAGTTGATGTGGCCACGGGATTTGTCCAGTTATGCTGGTCGTTGTTAAAGGAGAAAAGACCTGATCTCAACAGTGTCTGGCGATTGCCTTTGTTAGTGCCTTGTGTAAAGCCTTCCTTCCCTTCGCATCGACCCGTTGTTCCTGCCCTTTTAACTTGGAACAACATCTCAGTGCAAGTCACGTGTGCGTGCCATTACGTCGACAGCAATTCATGAAGGGCGTGATCCCCCTCTGTTGAATTATAAACATTTTGTTTGCTTCACGTCGTTTTGCCATGTTGTGTTCTTTTGCACACAACCCAATCCGGCCTTTGTTGGCCTGTTTTCGTACCAGTTTGGTAATTACTGCACAGTCCGGCATCCGTGAATACCTGTTAGCGGTTGGCTCCTTCCCCAAACACGCTGCGTCTTGCGCCACTTTGGCCATACCGTAACCGCGCCTACCTGTTGGTGCCCACCGCCTATTATTAACACGCTTTCCCACCTGTCCACTATCCGCCACCCCCCTTGCCGCTGTAATGCTAAGTCGCTCCCCTCTCTACCGGCCCCTCTCTCTCGTGCGTGCCCTTCACTGCCGCTAAGACGCCCTGTCACGCTTTCCGTCTCTTTGTCGCCTCTCGCGGTTCTGACGACAGCCACTATTTTTCGTCTCGACTTTTGGACCTCTTTTTTCCAGACTTGCTCCCTTCTTCTCTCTTCTTTCTCCCTCTTTCCTATTCTCTCTTTGACACACCAGTCTTCCTCTCAACAACCAACACTGTTCCCGGTGACACTGTGCCATTCTCCAATTTTCCCTTTCTCTTTGCTTGTCTGGCAATCATCGGCATCGCATCCGACGATCGCATCGAACGCCACACCGCCCAGTCGCAACCGCGCAACGCACACAGCCCCCGCATCACGCTTCCATCGGTAAGTGCTATCCACCATTTGACGCGCCCACCAGCACCCGGTTGCCTCATGCGATCGCGCTCAGGCAACTGATGGGCGGGGCGCGTACCGCTCCGCGAGACATGCCGGACTGAGATGGAGCAAGGGGAAAAGCGTCGATGCTGTGGGAGGAGATCTGTCCGGGCCAGCCCGGGGGACGCTCCCGTGCGTGTTGCTGCGCCCTGTACTAGGCAGCAGCGCAACGAGGCAGCGGCAGGCTCTACATGTCCAGAGACAGCATCAAGATGGGGCTCAGGACGACAACTAACAAGCGTCCTCGTTGTAGAAATCACAGACACGACAACCTCGCAGCCACCACCATGTCGGAGACCAACACCCCCAACCCCACCGACAACAAGGACGGCGCTGCCGCCGGCGGCAACGGCGAGGCGGCCGCGCCCGTGGAGCACCTCAACATCAAGGTGACGGACAACAACAACGAGGTCTTTTTCAAGATCAAGCGGACGACGAAGCTGGAGAAGCTGATGACGGCGTTCTGCGATCGGCAGGGCAAGTCCCTGTCGTCGGTGCGGTTCCTGTTTGACGGCCAGCGCGTTCAGCCGAGCGACACGCCGGACACGGTAGGTTCCCGCCTTCCCCACCCCTCTCCACCTAGGTGGCATCGGATAGCGAAAGCGAAGGCGAGCACCCGCCAACCACTTACGGCTCTGAGCGAAAGGTCGGCCCTCCAAAAACACTTGCTAACTCGTCACAGCTGGAAATGCAGGACTCGGACACGTTGGAGGTGCACCAAGAGCAGCTGGGTGGTGGCAACTAGGAGAGGGCATGGTAGACCTGGGTCAGAAAACGGCAACGGGGAGCGGGCGAAATCTACTCGGACGACGAAAACCACAGAGATACGAGTTGCTGGAGATGGCAGTAGATGGCAGTAGATGGCTGTCCGCGAGGGCAGCCAATGGAGTTTGGGAAGATGATATACACACACTTTCGAAATCAGGGTACGGCCTGAACAGGCAAATAAAATAATCCTCCACATCGTCGTGTCGTGTCCTTTGTGATTTTGGCGGCAAAACGTTTGTTTTCATTTAAACAATGGGACATGTGTCATCATTAAATCTTGAGCGTGAAGTGCATCAAAAGAGCAGAAAGCAGCGCCGAGGAAAAACAGAACAAAACGAAGAATACCAAAAACGATCAAACAAAGCACGTTTTCCGCGAGCCAAAGCCATGCGAATAAATCAAAACCAGACAAATCATCCAGACTTGAACGTCAATGTTTCTTCACTACTTCACATCCCGACCCTCGTTCACGCTTTGAGCTCCCGTTGGCGACACATGGTGCATACGACTTGCATGAGGCCGCCAGAACCCTCTCGCGGAAAGATTTGGCCATCGACAAAGCCGCCGCTGCAGACGGCGCACCGGAAACAGTCGTCGTGCCACTCGGCGGCCAGCGCCTGTACGTACTGCCCAATGACGGCTTTCCCACAGGCGCGACACTTGGGGGCGCGGCGCTCCGTGCGACGTGTCTGACACGACACGCACCAGGCATAGCCGTCCTTTTCAATGTGTGTTGCGCCAGGCCCAAAGGGCTCGCCGCACTCGGCACAGAAGAAGTGGCCGACATGCCAGTGTTCGCCCAACGCGACGACGTGCTCACCGACAATGGGCGTCGTACAGTGCTTACAGCGCGGCGCAAACAATTCGTGCCAGTCCAGGTGGCAGAAGAAGCGCAGGCGGTCGTCGCCATCCTCGCCCATCGTCTCACCAGGTGCCTCCTCCAAAATCTCGCCACGGGCGCGCAGGGCGATGCGATGGAGACGCGCGTTGCGGAACTCTTCGGGTTCGGGCGAGATTTCGAGAGCTTCCAGCCCCGTGCCACAGGAATAGCAGCGGAAGCACTGTGGGTGGAAACGCTCGGATCCATTGCTGCCACTGCTTGCTGCACCAGGGAGGCCGGCAAGGGAGATGAAACGGCCTTCGATGGGATTCCGACATTCGTGGCAGCAAGCTGTGGCACGGCTGCCACGAACGCTGCCGGTCGACGACGAAGGCAGGGCAGGATGGTGACCATGGGCACGCGACCAGTGGCTGCGAGGTGCAGGATGGTTGCCGGCACCAGACCGGCCACCTGGCGCAGGGAGCGGTCGTGCCAAAGATGTTGAGGAGGATTGGACGGAAGGCGTCGTGATTATGACGGGCGGGCTAGGACTAAAATCGGTATTGTTGTCGCCGCTGTCGTCGGGGGTCAAGATGACTGGAATAGGTGGTACGGCCGGGCCACGAGCGTATCGACCATGACCCGGGACCAGGATGTCGGGGACATTGGATCGTTGGGACGGGGCAGATGAAGGAGCTTGAGCCACATCGTCGTCACCGGGAAGAACGATAGTTGGGTTTGGAGGAGCGGGCTGCGGCCGAGAAGCAGGTGCGGACGGAGTGGGGTCTTCGGACACCGCAATGGAGGGAATGGGTATGGGCGCCTGAGACACAGGAGCAGCCGGCGATGGTTCTTCCGACACGCAAATGGTCGGCACCGAGGTAACAGGGTTTACCTGAGCAGCGGGGGGGCGACTGAAAATGTTACGTGCTTGCGGGCGCGGCTGGTGCTGCTGTTGGTGCTGCAGTTGGTGCTGCTGCTGTTGCGGCGGGACAGGCGGCGGCGACCGAAAATCCGTAGGAGGCGTGACAGCAACGGCCGGCGTAGTTTGCTGTTGTTGCTGCTGTTGAAGTTGCTGCTGCTGATGTCGCCGGGCGAAGATGTTCTTTGGGCTGATCTTGCGAATCTTTTGGAAGGGGCCGGCATGGTTGCCGCTGCTGGGTGCACTGCTGGGTGCGTTGATGGGGACATGACTGGGGAAGTTCGTCTCCCGGACGCCTGGCTTCACATCAGTAGCCGCCTTGTCTGCTTGTGCCTCAACCTGGGTTGGGTCTTTCCAGTTGGCGTCAAAGCTTACAATCGGTCGTCCCGGGGTATCGCTGACAAAGGACGGAGTGGGGAGCTTGGGGTTGCGGTCCTTCAACTTCATGCTGGTCGCTTGGCGAATGTCATCGCTGCGAATCTCCACGCCATTTTTGCGCGCCACATCCGGGGACGCAACAGCGTTGGTGTTGGACAGCGTCGCTTCCGTGCCATTGTTGACGGTATATTGCGGATTCCGCGACTGCGAGGGTGCGTTGCGATGGATTTCGTAGCGCGAAACCAGTTTGGAGAGACCACCAGTGTGTGCTCCGCCGACGGTGCTGTTGTTCACAACACTATCTGGCTTCACCTGCAAAACACTGCTGCTGCCCGTGTCCGTGGTGGTCGTGGCCTTGGCCCGCTTGTCTGGCGTCGAAGTCTCGGGCTCCTCGTAGATCTGGTCGCCCGAAAAGGGCTTCTCAATCTCACCACTGATGTTGCGCTTCATGCTACTCCGGCGACGGCCAGTGGCGGCTGCTTTATTGTTCGCAGCACCGGTTGAGGAAAACGAGGCCGACACCATGGGGCGGGGGCCACCAGCAAGGCCATTGTACGTCTTGGAGCGCAGAGAGCCACTAGCAGCAGGCACAGACGGATTGGACGACGTGGTATCACGGGCTTGGTCCAGGCTTTGGCGGACACTGTTGCTACCGCTGTTGCCGCTCGCACCACTGCCATTGCTGACGACACGGTTTGACCCATAGGAGTGACGGCTGCGACGTGATCCAGACGCATCGACCGAGGATCCCGCAGAGCTGCCCGAGACGGAGCGCGAGGCCGGGTCCCGCGCGAGACCACTGGGCTCTATATCGTTGCCATACCGACCGACGCTAGCGGTGCGGGCATGGGCGTAACTGTTCTTGCGCAAATGGTTCTTGTATTGGTACGGTGCGCCGGGCTCAGGCGGTCTGATGCCGTTCTGATGCTTCCAGACAAGCTCCGCAGCCTCGTCGAGGGCAGCTGCGTAGATGCGCTGCTCGTCGGGAACAGCGTCGCTGCCGGGTGTGGGGATCATGGACACAGCGCCGGATGCCGCCGTGTCCTGCTGCTTGAGGTCCATATCCTCAAGTGCATGGCGCAGCGACACAACCTCTTCCTTCTCCATCCAGCGCTGGCCGCGCTCCATGTAGGTATCGGTGGGCACGACCTCGTCGGGCCGCAGGGGCCGAACAGAAGGTGCTGCTGAAGATGCGGCGCTGGTGGCGGCCGGGTAGTAGTCGCGGCCACGGCCTGTGACAGTGGAGTAGCGGGAGGAGACGCTGCCAGAATTGGAATGGCCGCCTAGTGAAGGACGGCCCGAGACGGGAGGCGCAGCGGTTGTTGCTGTGGCATCGGACTGGGAGCGGCTGTGCGAAGAGGAGCTGGAGAAGGCGTCGGCGGTGGCTACCATGGGCATGCCAAAAGAGACTCGGCTGCCAACGGAAACACGGCCAGAGTCACGGCGAGACGAGCTGCCACTGGTGGCCGGCAGCGGGCGTGTACCACCGGGTCGTGCAATGCGGTTGTTGCGTAGGTCGGCGAGGTAGTTTGCTGTTGTTGTTAGACGGAACTGCGGGCCCTCGGGAAGCCAGAAGACATGGGTGCAACCTACCGAACTGGTCATTAGACATGTAGTTGCCAGACGGCGTCCGGTCTTTCGGCTTGCCGCGGGCCGACACGGTCGACATGGCAGGCAACGTGGGGCGGAAGATTTTGAGACGAAAGGACAAGAAGATGCTATGGTCAGGTGAGGTAAACAAACAAGCAGATCTGCGTTAGGTACTGAGAAGAGAGAGTTGTGCGTGATGGTGAGAACAGGAAGCTGTTGTCCGAAAACGACGACGACGAGAAGATAAAGAAGCTTGTTGACAGCGGTAGACCAGGTTGCTGGGGCAGAAGATGCGGCAGAGTAGAGCAGAGTCGGAAACACAGAAAATAAAGAGAGCTCAGAAACAGTGTCTGGATGTGAGACAGGGATGTGGCGGCGGGCGGTGAACGAAGCGAGCGGTGAAAGTGGAAGGACAGTGCAACGAATGCAGGCGACAGGTCTGTTTTCGTCTTGTATTGTGTTGCGATGCGTTGTGATGCGTTGTGATGCGCTGTCTTGGGAGGTGAATTGCGTGAAGAGACGTGAAAAAGCACGAGAACAAAAGTGACTCCTTTTTTGTGGCCTGTTCCTTCCGCTCCGGTTGTGGTTGTTTTGGGTAATTGCGACCTGCCCAATATTACCTGTGCTTTCCCTAATAATGCTATTGCTACCCTTTCCAATATTTGGGCCAAAATACGATACAAAAAAGAGGACCCCTGTCAATTTGCGTTTGTTTACCCCACTCTAAGCGGTTGACTAGACAACTGTGGCCCAAGACGGGCCAGACGGCGAATTTGGGGATTATTTCGACCTACAATTTAATACCTTTAATCGCCCGCCGCCATTTCAGCTGTTTTGGGCTCCAACAGCGCACTGGACGCTAATGAGGCAGCTGAGGCGGCGATCTGTTTGTTCGCGATTCACACAACGGACGGCTGAGAGTCGCGACCGAAACAACAACAACAAGCCGCGCCGAGCTGAATCATAGATGCGCTTGACAATTGCGGCTCTGAAGGCTACGATAACCCGCTAGCAAAACAGCGCGGCAAACGGCAAACATCATAAATAAGCATCATGTGCTCTTGGCCATCGTCACGATAGCTTTCAACAAGCGCGCTTCTGAGTTGGCGACTGGCACGACCGTATTGGGTGTTCATGGAAGACGTCCAAGCTTCATTCCCTGTCCGCGCCATCAGTTGCGGAGGTTGTGTGCACTCTACAGAGTCCGAGTAGCAGGTTCACTGCCATCGAATACCCCTTACCTGTGACAATCACCTGTTATGACTTCCAGAAGGACGCAAGACGTAAGAAGTAATCAAAAGTAAATCATGGTCATCGCCGCTAATGTCCATGCCATATTTTCGGCGTTTTGTCTTCTATTTGTCGGCATCTGCTGTCGTGTCGGTCGTGGTGTTGTGATGTTTTGTTGCGACAGTTCCACGTATTCATAAGCGAAAGACAGGGCCAGGCTCCGTGCAGAGCCATGTCGGAGAGTGAATGCTATTCGTTGGACACATGCTTGTTTTCTGCGTGCACTCTGCGTGCACTCTGTGTGCACCTTCTGCAGGAAATCTTTGTATCTTACGGTATGCGTCCTCTTTATGCTGGCACTGCTGGCTGCATGACAAGTGCTTATCCCATTTCGGCAGTGAATTTACTAGGGCTCAGCTCAGAAAGAAGTTTTACGATAACAGGTGATGTGGCTTCTTGCGCCAGGCCTCCCAGAACAACTCGTAACTCCGTACGGAGCACGACGTCTTTCGTTCGTACGGAGAGCTCCGCACTCGCGGTAAATACAAAATAAGCAGCTTTTCCGGCCCGGTCAGGCCATCATCGTCTGTGGATACCGTTGTCTGCATGGCCGCCGCTTCAGTGAGCAAGGCTGATAGATGCAGGAACCAATCGAGGCAAGGTTCGCGCTGACGCTCTTGACAACTCAGGCGAAGTGTGCCGGCGATTGATTGAGGTTCCGATGTAAGGAGCACGATAGTTCAGTTTTACCATAGTACCGGGGCGTGTTTCAAACCCCGGAGTGACTCAGAGATGCGGCATACTATTGCGCCTTTTGCAGTCTGTGGATGGGATTTAGTCTTTGGTTTTCATGTAGTATTCTTCCTCACGATTCAGCGATGGTTGTTGCATTATGGAGCGGCTGCCATCGGCAGAATGGCGCGCCGCCCAAGGCGGTTTTACAATCCCAACATGAACTACTCTGAACGCGTCTGCACGCAACTGTGCCGCGCGTCTTACCCTAAAGCATTCCCACCTAAAACGCCCTGATGGCGCGGGATCATGTGCCGGATTTCGGGTGCCGCGGGCTTTACGTTTGGGCCTCTTACATTCACAACCATCTCTTCCAAACTTGCTCGGTGTGTCTCTCAGCAATCCGCGCCAAGCTCTCCGCTCCGTCCTCGTCGTCGACACTCCGTCTCCGTATAGAGGCTTGATTACCTGTTGTATTGCGCGAAATTCGTATAGTTTCACGCCCCTTACACTTATTTCACTTTAACAGTTTGCCCGATGGCCAATCGTTTGCCCGCGGAGGATACGACCGGGGCTGTTAAATTTGTCCCTGAGTCCTCGCTCTTAACGCGGCTGACAATGTTTAGTAACCACGTTTTACACGATGGGTATCATCAGCACGAGCTCGAGACCCAGGCGCGTTTTGTCGTTCTCCGCCTTCAAATGGTGCCACACGGCTCAGTCGTTTCCGTGGCTGGACCCAGTTTTCTCTCCTGTCAGGTTCATATGCCGTGTCGTCTTTACGACGTCGTACGACGCATGAGGCTGTCCACGACGCAGTAGCCTACCGATGCCATCCTGCTGCCAAGGCCGTTGTTCGTTTTTTTTCTGTCCTACATGATGTCAACACAGCCAATGTTGTCGTCGATGTGCCAGACCAACACCCGAGACATATCATTGGCTGGATGTTGTTCTGGAAAGCAGCCTGTTAACATCGGCCTTGCTTTACGATGCACATATCGATGGTTTGATGGATTTGGTCATAGAGATATCCTCGCCGGCCAACGTCGCCGATCTCGCGTCTGCTCCGTCAAGTTGGTGTGTCTGGAGTTTTCGTGGCTCTGTGGGGTTGCAGGCTGCAACTGCCTTGTCTGGAAACAAGCTGGGAATAAGGAATAGCCAGCCAAGGGTTCGTTTCTCTCCTCTGTAACACGGAGACACGGTCTTTATTTTCGTATGGCACTTCCTCTTCGAGCTCTGGTAACCAATCGTCTCCACTTGGGGCGCCCCGCCTTTTCTTATTTCCACGGGTTATTCGCGATGACTCCGTAGCTAACGACATCTCTCCCGTCTTTTTTTTCTTGTTTCTTTATGTCATGCCCATGTCTCCTCTTAGCCTTCCTCAGTTTACTACGCCCACAGTAGGGAATTGCCTCAAGGTGGAGTGCAGCGCCGGGTGCGAGTTTCTCCTCGCAGTGTCATATTGTTTCGGCGCTCTACCCATCGACGTCCAAGTATTGACTCCGTCGGGCCTGGCTATGTTCCATTGAATAATGAAAACCACGGCCGGAAATGGCACACCGGTCCGAGGTGCACGCGCATATGCAACAGTATGGCCAATACGTGCAGCCCTCCCAGTTTCCATCGTCCGTATTCCGCATTCATAAGTAGACCGTCGCTCTTTCCCTCCGTGACAGAAGCTCTTGCTGGTTACTCTGTTCGTTTCGTTGATGGCTCTTGCCTTTCTTGAGTCGTCGACGTCGCCATACGACTTCTGCCCGTTCCGACCCGCAGCCTTAAACCTTCTGTACAACACCTGACTCAACATCGGCAAGCGCACGCTCCTGCCGCCTGCCCCAAAATATAAAGAAAGCGGAAGGATCGCGGTCGAGTGCGGTCGCGGCCGACAAGCAGCAAGAACGTTGCATTCTGAGTCGCCGTTCTCTCCTCGATCCAGGAACTCGGCACGCCTTCCTAGCGCCTGCTGGTGGCCCATCCCCTCTTTTCGCTGCTTCGCTGTTTCGCAGCAGGGGTCCTCAATTTCTCTTGTTTATTCGAATCCTTCGTCTCCTTAATACATCCATTTGATTCTTCATTTGTTTGTTTATTTCTTGAAGCTATTGTCTTACGTGGCTATTTCTCTTTTCATATACCGTCCCCTGATTGTTTGTACGGCCCAAATTTTGTCTCTTACACGGCCCCGCACGCACGCATAGTCCACGCCCACTCAAAATGTCCGCCTCCGAAACGGCGTCGGCGCCGTTCAACGGCTATTCCATCGGCCGAGTTCCTGGCACGGCCGATTCCAATGAAGAGAAGCGGGACTTGCCAACGGGCGACGACGAGTCCACAAACAACGACTCCAACCAGGAGGAACCGTCCGCCGAGGCCGCGGCCGCGGCCGCAGTTGCTGCAGGCACCACGGGCGTCGAGCCGCCAATAGAGGTGCCGACAGAGGCGCCGGCCGAGGAGTTCAAGGAGGGCGGCTACGGCTGGGTCGTCGTGCTGGCGGTGTTCTTGCTCAACGCACACACGTGGGGCGTCAACTCGGCGTATGCCGTCTTTCTAGCCTACTACCTCAACAACGACGCCTTCCCCGGCGCGACCGCCATCGAATATGCCTTTGTCGGCGGCCTGTCCATCTCCATTGCCCTGCTCGTCTCGCCCCTGTCCACGGTGTGTGTGGGCCGTTTCGGCACCCGCGCGACGCTGCTGGTCGGCATGTTTTTCGAGACGCTGGCCTTTATCGGCGCCTCGTTTACGCGCCAGATCTGGCACCTGATGCTGTCGCAGGGCATCGCCTTCGGCATCGGCATGGGCTTCATCTTTGTGGCCTCCGTCGGCATCGTGCCCCAGTGGTTCACCAAACGCCGCTCGTTTGCCAATGCCCTGGGCACCGCCGGCTCCGGCTTCGGCGGCCTCACCTATTCCCTCGCCACCAACGCCATGATCCGCAACATCAGCCTCGCCTGGGCCTTCCGCATCCTCGCCATTGTGTCCTTTGCCGCCAATTTGGTCTCCACCATCCTCGTCCGCGACCGCAACAAGGTCGTCGGCTCCATCCATGTGGCCTTCCGCCTGAGCCTGCTGAAGCGTGTCGAATACGTCCTGCTCGTCACCTGGGCCTTCTTTTGCATTCTCGGCTACATCATCGTCATCTTCTCGCTGCCCGCCTACACCCAGGCCGTCGGCGGCACTGCCTACCAGGGCTCCATTGTCGCCGCCATGTTCAACCTGTCGCAGGGTCTCGGCCGTCCCTTGATTGGCTTCTTGAGTGACCCCGTCGGCCGCCTCAATGTCATGGGCCTCGGCACACTAACCGCCTCGGTCAGCGCCCTCTTCATCTGGATCTTTGCTGGCAAGTACTATGCTGGCGCCATCATCTACGCGCTGCTCGGCGCCTTTGCCGGCCTGCTGTGGGCCACCGTCGCCCCCGTCACTGCCGAGATCGTCGGTATTCCCCTGCTGCCGGCCGCCCTGTCGGTCCTGTGGATTGTCCTGGTGCCGCCCGCCACCTGTGCCGAGGCCATTGGTCTGAGCTTGCGCACCGACTCCGGCAGCGACTCCTACCTGCACGTCCAGCTGTTTGCCGGCTTCTGCTTCCTCGCCGCCTTCATCGCCGGCTGGCTGCTGCGCGCCTGGAAGCTGCACCAGCTCGAAGACGCTACCAACGAGCAGAGCGGCGCACCGCGCGAATCTTTCTACCGCTACCTCCTCAGGTTCGCGTGGGTCTTCAAGGTACAGCGTGTGTAGAAGGACATAGTCAGGGGAGTGAATCAACGTACGAAAACAAACTAGAACTCGAAAAGGAGTGACGTAAGAAGTGTATCGTACGTGAAGTGGGAAATGTTTATATGCTTGGTATAGACAGCATTTAAAAGGGAACCCCGGAGTCTGGATTATGCAAGCGTTTTTATTGCAACTCGTTGTGTTTGCATTGTATTGCATTTTCACTTTTTTCGTTTCTTTTTTTCTTTTTACTATTTTATTGTTTCATTTATCAATATTCTGACTACTTATATATCCATTTTAATGTCCTAATATATAGATTACTAAATTGATTTTTTTCACAATTTTTCTTTCCGTTTTAGGCTCTGATTTTTTTTTTTTAGATAAAATAAATATAATTACAACTTTAACTCCCACCTTAGTATACTCCAGAAACAAACTTAGGAACAAATTAAGGCCCAAGAAATGAAAAATTACTTTCTTGATGTTCATTAGAATGAGCCGTTGTAGTGTCGGACCAAAGTTCGTTTTATTTTATTCTGTATGTATCTGTTCATTTATCCGTAACCAAGAGAGGACATCAAGAGAATGCAACAAGAAGCATAATAACAAAGAAAAAAAGCTAGGCTCTGAAGTATTAAACAGTTCATGCTTGGAAAGTTAACCAACCGCTTCATACCGAAAGAGACGGAACGATAAAAAAAGGAAACGAAATAAGGTAAGAATAATACAATTTTGTAGAGAAAATAAGTAGGCTCGTAAAAGAAATGATATCCAAAGGATTTTCATGACGAAGTCGAAGAGAACGGAAGAAAAGGAAAGACAAAAAAAAAAAAAAAAAAAAAAAACAAGATTACACCCGAAGAGACTCGCTCGCACCAAGAACATCGCTGTCCTTGCGATGGCGGTGGGCGGTCGCTCCCATAATGTCGCTGTCGTCGCCATTGTCATCGCGTGCCGTCTCGGCGCCCGTCTCGTCGTCATTATTGTCGTCATCGTCACCACGGCCTCGGCCATCCCGAGCCAAGTGGTTGTCCTCGTCATTGGAGCCAATACTGCCCTCGCCCCGCGCTGCCCGCCGCGCAATCTCCCGCTCCTGGTAAATCTCGCTGCGCCGCCGCTCGGCCTCGGTCAGGCAGTCCACGTACGTCCGGTACTTGACAATCTCCCGCAGCAGGTACGAGCTCTTGCGCTCCCAGTTGGCCATAGCCTTGGTAGCGTTTTGGCCCCGCGGCGTGAACGCGAGCAGCATGGGCGACCGCAGCGCGTTGTGCGACTTGAGTTCGCTCTCGATGCTCTGCACGTACGCCATCAGCGTTTGCAGCTGCTGCGGCTCGGCCGCATTGGACGGGCGCAGCGACTGGGCAGGCGGCATCCACTCGGCAATGGCAATGCGATCGCCGGGCAGCTTGCCGCTGCCGCCGTGACGGCTTGAACTGCCAATACCTCCACCGCCGATATTCGCTGCCGACGCCGTGAAGCCACTGGACGAGGAACCGCTGCGGCCGTGGCCGAAATCGAAGGAGCCGGAGCGGAACGAGCTGCGCGATTGCAAGCTGGCGCGACCCGCAGCGGCCGAGCCAGGACGCGACGCCGACGGCGGGTAAGGGCCGTGGGTACCAGTGTTCGAGGTGGACGGCAGCGCCGTGCTCGACTCGCTCTTGATCGCGTTCACCAGCGAGTTGTTCACAATGCCGTCGCCCCAGCCGTACTCAATGTTGGATATGCCGCCGACCAGCGGATGTGTGCTCAGCCGCGCGCTCCAGTAGTTGGCCGTTGTCACAAACTCCTTGCAGATTTCGGGCGTGCCGACCTGGAACAGATGGACGGCGCCCGTGGGCAGGCTGAGCGCCCACACATGCGGCCGCTGGCGGGAGTAGCCTGGGGGCGGTAGGGCTGACGCGAGTGTTTGCTTGAGGCCAAACGAGCCCACGTTCGTGGCGTTCTCCTGCCAGTTGCCACCACCAACGACGGCGCCCTTGGGCAGCGCATTGTTGCGTCCGCGGTTCTTCGCGCGCAGGGACTTGTTGGGCGTAAAGGAGAACAGGCTCATGTAGCCCTTTTGCACAACGGCAAAGACCTCGGTCCAGTTTCTATCCTTGGCCTTCTTGTCCATGCCGTCCAGGTGATGCTTGTGGACAACCATGCCCTCCTTGACCCACGGCGGGCCGGCCAGTTCGAGCGACTCGTCGTCGAGCAGTGGGTTGGCGCCGTCGCGCTGGTGCATGGACTGGTCGTCACTAATTATCGAAGCAGCTCCAGTGCCGCCGAGCGCGTCCTCTCGGATGATGGCTTGGCTGAGGGCGTTGGCGAAACCAATGGACTGCTGGTACTCGCCGCCGCGGCCTGCCCAGTTCGAGCCAAAGGACTCCATGGACATGGACGTCTGAGTGCGACCGAGCGACTGTCGGCTCCAAGTGGCCGATGATACGGTGGGACTCCAGATGGAGTTACCGTCTTCGAAACTCGTGCGGCTTGACGAGAAGCCGTTGGCACCGGTCGCACCGCCTGCACCACCCGGACCACCGACTGCCGGGCCACGCACGCGCGACCGGCTCTTGGAAGTCCAACGTGACGAACCAGCCCGGGTGTTGGATTCGGTGACGCGTCCGCGGAGCGAGGCCTGGCTCTCCGAGGGAGCCTTGCTAATTACGCTGGGCGTGCGCTTGAGCATGCCAATGACCGACAGGCCGCTCTGGTTGTTCGGCGTCTGGCTGTTGCTGTTGCCGTTGCCGTCGGCACCAAAGAGCGGCAGGCGCTCATCGCGGATCGAATTGTATATGATCTTGAGCACAATCTCCATCTGCGATTCCCAGGCGCGCATCGAGCCCTCAAACGGTGCCTTGACTAGAGGGCCGCAGTCGTCCTGGTTGTGGCCCAGTGACGACTCGGATCGTGGAGGGAGGGACGCCACCGCCAGGTTGCGGTCTTGGTCCACCGACGGACGTCGGCCGCTGTCGGGGCCGCCGTAGATGGAGCGACCGTTGGCCTTCGGATCGGAGTCGGCGAGAGTGTGATGAATCGACGTCATTGTGTTCTTAATAAACTGGGACCGAGTCATCTTGGACTCAATGTCGGCCAAATGCAAGTCGGTGTTGAGGAGCATGATCGAATAGCACGTAGTGTGGACGACATCTGGGGAGGTGTTGTCAGCAAGGAAGAAACGGCACATGTGTCATAAGCACGAGACGGGATATACGTACCCAACGACTTAAAGCCGTGGTTGGGATTGTTGGCACACCATCGCTTGGAAAATGATACCAGAATACGGTCGACCTGCTGTGTCTCAGCGCGGAGCACGAGGCGACTGCACACATCGCGCAGCGCGCTGACAATGCTCTGGTTGCGGAAATCGTAGAGCTCCATGTAGGCCTGGAGCGTACGCTGCCGGACCGGGCCTTCCTCGCCCATCCAGGCAGCGGCCTTTTCCTTTTGGATAAAGTCTTCGCAGCCTTCGTAGATGTTGAGGGCCTTTTGCCGGTCATCCTCGGTAGGCATGCCAACGACAAACTCGGGCTCGTCGATGATGTTCGGGTCCTTGTCATCTGCCTTCGTGGCGCCGCTGTCGACCTTGACAATGGGCATGTGGACGCTTCCGTTGCCGCTGCTACTGCTCACAAGAGGCGAGGCCTTGGACGAAGCGACTCCGGCAGAGCGTGCCTTGGGAGACGTGGTGGATGCAGCGCCTTCAATCGGCAGGCTCAATTGGCTGCCACTCTTCTTGGAGGATGGGCGTTGGCTTGAGGGGGGTAGGTGCTGATCGTCCACAGCTGACGGGGATACGGACAAAAAGTCGCTTTGTTCAGAGCGTTTCTTGGACAGTGCCTTGGTCATGACGCGGCGCGGGCTTTCATCGTCGCCATCGCTGTCGTCGCTGAGGAACGAGCCCGAGCGGGCAGGATGAGGCGGCGCGGGAGGTTGTCTTGTGGGTGTCTCGAGGTGGTGTCGTTGGCCGCTGGTGCTCCGGTCTTTGCCAGACGATGGCTCGGGGCCCACCGAGCGGATGGTGGCAGTTGGTGGGGGCTCGTAGTCGGGCGAGAAGCCTCTGACGGCTCGATTGATCGTGTCGGCATTGTCTGGCTTCGCACCCTTGTCCCTGGACGGCGTGTGAGGTGTGCTATCGAGGTCTGTCGGCTGTAGCGGCGAAGCCGTGTTTGCATCGTCGCCATTGGTCTTAAGGTACGGGCTCATGGCATGGCTCAAGCTCGTGACGGGACTGGGCGCTGGCTTTTCGACGAAGCGCTGCAAGTTGGGCATCTTCAAGGGCGGCACGAGTGGCACAGGCCGAGACTGTTGTTGCTGTGCCACAGCAGGCGGAGGAGGTGGTGGTTGTTGTTTTGGTTGCGGTGGCAGCACAAGGGGCATTGGCAGTGGAGGCGGGGATTCCGTTTCCGAGATGCTCTTCTTGCGGCGCCTGAAGAAGCCAGAGGGTTTCTTTTGCAGCGTCGCATGTGTAGAATGGTGGCTGTCTCGGGACGGCGGAGCGCTTTGCTGTTTCTGGTTCTGACCCAAGCCAGACGAGCTGTGTTGCTGGCTGCGGGAGCCGTTTGCTACGTCGACAGAGGAGGACGAGGCAAAACCACCCGACGTGTTTGTGGACGCGGATGGTAGCTGTGGCACAGGCTCGTTTTCAGCCGCAGTGTCACGAAATCCACCAAACACACGCCGGAAAAAGCTTGGTTTTTGTCTGAGCGGATGCGGTGGAATCTGCTGCGGCTGTGCGGTCTGTGGTGGCACGACTTCTTTGGACTTTTCGTAGCCAATGTTGGGAGCCGGTGCCGAGTCGAGATCGAAGGCAGGCGGTAGTGGTGGAGTACCGGGTTTATTAAATTTGGTCTGAGACTGCCGGCCGACGGTTGCGCTTCTTGATGACCGCACGCTTTTGCGTCGCTCAGGGTCTGAGGGAGGATCGGGCGGCGGCGGTTGGAAGGAGGGGATCGACGGCATTGAGGGGGCAGAGGTCAGTTTTCGAGGGCCACCGGGAACGGTGGGCGTCGGAGCGGCGTCGTCGTAGGCGTCGTTGAAAAAGGAGTTTGAGAACTCAATATGCCACGGTTGCGTTTGTTGTGCTGTTTGCTGCGCCGCCTGCTGCGCCGTCTGCTGCTGCGGGATCATGGATGTGGGAGGCGGGTTGTTGCCGCTAGACGAACCAGGCAACCGAGGACCAAGATCGAAGCTCGACGAACGGCCCCCGAAACCATGAGCCCATCGCTGGCTACCGAGGACCTGCACATAGCCGGCGTCGATGCTGTTGGTGCTGCTGCTTTTGCTGCCCTTGCCGCCACGCGAGTGCATCATACGAGGCGTGCCTGGCTGGCTGCCTCGGTGCAGGGACGACTCGCGCATGCTGTTGATGCGCCCTAGACTCGACTGGAAGCCGGAGCTGCTGTTGCTGCGGCGGCTGTGGGAGATGCTGCCGGACACGCGACTGGCATCGTCGGGCACCTCGAAGTCGGAGCTGTAGTTGTTATACCCACTGCCGTACCGACCACCGCCCCCTCCTCCACCGCCACGTGGCGCTGTCGGGACATTGGGCGCACGGGCAATGTTGTCGTCGGTGGTGGTGGTCGACAAGGAGTACAGACGGTGGTCCTCAAAGGACGGGGCAGAGCGCACAGGGGCGGCTGTTTGGCCCATGGAGAACTGGTCGAGGGAGAGGAGCATGTTGGAGACGAGGGAGTCGCGGACGTGCCGCGAGGGGAGCGACAGGTCGTGGGAGTCGCGATGGCCGCGTATGGGTGGAGGCTGCGGAGCATCGGCCATGGTCAGAGACGGAGGACTGTTCTCCTTGCCGCTGGCGGACACGGCGTTGGGGGTGTACATGTCGAGAAATGTCTCGACGTCGGCGGCCGCGCCAGAACCCTGACGGGGATATGACGAGGTGCCGGACCGCAGGCGGTTGGGACCGACACCGCCGGCCTCGATGCTGGAGGCCATAACCGTAGTACCGAGTGCTGGGGGAGGTTTCGAGCCGCGGCTGCTGGCCCGAGAAGACGGCACAGGGACGTTGCGGCGCGGCGGTGACAACGGAGGCAAGGCAATCTTGGAGCTGGAGTTGGAACGCGCGCGCGAGGTGTTGACGCTGAGATCTGGCCGCCGCCTTGGGGATCGGCGCGAAGGGTCGGCGTTCATGATCGTGAGGGAAAGGAAGGAGAAGAACGAAACGAAAAGGGCCAACGTCCGTAGACCAGGTGTTAGGGTCCAAAAGGGGCACAGTAGGAACAGGTCGTACACAAGCAGACAAGGAAGGACAAGGCCCACCTTAGGCTAGACGCAAATCTTCGTTCGATTCCGTTGGCGTGCCTGGCGCCCCAGTGTTTGTGGGTGTCTTGTCCAGTCCCTGTTTCTGAGTAGCCTCGCCTGAAAACGATGGATGGGTCATCAAAGCGACGCCGTCGACGACGCCATCCACTCCAAGACGACGGATGAGACGCGCCTGATATTGGCGATTTTGGCGGGATTTGGGCGATTCGGCGAATTCGAGGTGCTGGCAGGTGGAAGAGTGTTGCTTCCCGGGAAATGGTTTAATGAGCGGAAAAGTGTATCGAGATTGGGAGCGGCACGCCGCGCGTGGCAGAAAGACGACCCAGGGGACGCAACAACTCTTTTGGGACTTTGACTATTGTTTTTCTTTTTTTCTTTTTTCTGTTTTCCCTTCTTTTGTTTTTGCCTTCTCGTCCTCGCAGGAACGCACACTCACTCCCTCCCCGGCCTTGCTCCTGGCTGCCCCTTTATTGGACTGCTAGTGATGGCGCTAAAATGCCTAGGGCAAGGGGGTGAGGAGGTATTGGATGCAGGGGTAAGACTGGTTGGAGTGCGCTGGTGTGGGGTTGTCGAGGCCGACGAATGGTAGCGCGGTGTTAGATGCGGGATGAAACGAAGAGAAAGGCAGACGGCCCGGTTGTCGATGATGGCTTCAAAGGAAAGAGAAGGCGGAAACAGAACGACTGAACAAAACAAAACGAAGCAGAGAAGGACGAGGCCCACAGTGTCGAAGAGTTTCTTGATCGATCGCCACGGCGGTTGTCAAGGCCGTGATCACTGCTCTAGATCACGACTCGAAGAGGATGGGTGGGCGGATTCGTGTTTCCTGTGGCCCCTGCCGAGTCTTCTTATGCTATTTGGATCGATATTTGAAGGGTCAGCCGCGCTCTTCGTAATTTGGTGCGAGACTTTGAGGGTTTCTTCGAAATCTCCTGGAAATTGTTTGGAGACCATTTTGGGATGCTGGCTGGTTAAATGCAGGATACTCATATGTACGTTGTACAGCAGGACCGTTTCTGCACTGCATCTGTGCGGGTGCAAGCCCCTTGCAGCAAATCACTGTCGATGCAGGCGAGTGGGGAGGAGATGACGGGTAATGGCTGATGCAGTTGTTGATGAACGATGAAAATGAGAGGATGAGGAAAAAAGGCCCAGAAGTTCAAGTCCCTTACGCCTGAGACGTTCGTCGCTGTTCTCGGCAGGAACGTTCGTGGTTGACCGTTTTCGAGGAAGGTACGAAATGCACGGTGCTTACTTCGTTTACCTTACCCGCCCTGTGCGTACCTCCTTCTTTGGGTGGTGCTCTTGCCTTCGAAACATACGTGGATCACGGATCGCCGTCAAGCCACAAAGCAACAAACCCAAAATTGATGGTGTCAGTAAAGCAACCCCAAATTAGCCAGAGGCGCTTCGAAGCATTGCAGCACACTTTGGAGTACACCACACGAAATTGCATGTGGCTATCATTAACAAAACTGGCACACCAGTGTTGGGCCTATGCGCTCGCGACAAAACACAATGTCGTTGCCGTCTAGTCACGTCGACGAAGTCGACGTCTTCAACAAACAATTCCATATCCATCCCCACTCCCGTCTGTCATCAATCGAATTCTTCCCGTGGCGTGCCCGTATCTGGCCACTTCCCACATGGTCGCCCGTCTCGAGACCCAAATGCGGCCATAGGCTTGTAACCGGCTCCAGGATCCATCGAAAACCACGTGTGGCGGACTGGCGGTTTTGTACGACATACAGTGGCTGGCTGGCCCTGGTCGTTCCAAGAGTGGTCCCTTGTGCCACTGCCAGACAAGGGTTCAGGATCTGACCACCGGACAGAACGGGAAGAAAACAAAAAGGTAAGGGACACGGTGCGACGTGGAATAACAAAACGACGTCAGAGACGCGTTTTTAGGTAGAGATTACGCTATCCTTGTTCCTGCAGTTCGACGCTGCGGTCCCATGTTTGTTCGTTCTGCAAGAACACAGCGCAGTTTTGTAAGATAAACGAAAAGCTGCATTACATCATGTGGCGTGTCCAATGAACGGGAACCATTTCGTCTCTTTCCAGGACTGAAAACGTAACTCATACTATGTCACACAATTACAGAATTGATGCGGGCCGGCTCCGTTGTCTCTTTTTATTTCTACTATTCAACTATTTTGGCCTACTTTGTGGCAGCCCCTTTTCTATTTATCCTACAAAGTCTCTCACCGCCTGACTGAGGACCAGGCACAAAACAGACATAACATAGATGCGGACAGAGGCGCACAAACTGCCGAGCCCCGTCGAACAAAAGAGCTTCGTGAGTCGCGCTGCCAGCGAGACCAGAGCACAAGGAAGCACGAAAAGGATTCACTTGGTACCTGTCAGGGTACGGCTCATAACTCAGTGTAATGTCTAACGTCGTTCCTTGTTGCAGGTTTAACTACCTGTATCACTCTGCCTTTGCCAACTCAAACATGAAATGATACTGAACATGCCTCCGAAACTATCAGCAGGGAGGAAAATACGGACAATATGCACTTTTTGCCGCCACAATCTGGGCCGTGTATACAATGAAGATGTTGCAATGCATTGACATTCTATGGCTGCGAGGGCAGAAGCGGCGCAGGCCAGGACTCCGACAAGATGGGCGTGGTGCAAATCACTGGCAGAGTAGTGCTTAGTTGCACAATGAGAGAGTACAACGTTGGACACGAATCAACAAAGGGTGAAAAGGGACAAATCCTGAATGTGAAAGCAGCGGATGAGCACTGCTTTTCACCAAGGTCTGATTGCCACTGCGACCATTTCGAGTGGCATCAATACCTGCAACGATGAGCGCAACTTGTTGTCGGAGCACAAAATATGGCAGTATAGATGAAATGCGACCTGCCATCCACTGTCACTTGGAATTGGATGGGCCGAAAGCACAGAGTCTTGCGAAAAGACGATAAAATCTAGGATAAGTATCCTACCCATGAGGAATGTTGATGCTCGGCTGGCTGTTGAAGGCAAATTCATTCTCCTTGTCTCGAGGGCCTTGCCCAAGAGGAGAAGTGTTGATGCAGGAGGAAACAAACAAAAGGAAACAAGAATGCGATAACTTATAGGACAATCCTCCAAATCTTATCGTCGTCAAGGTACCGCGATGCGACGCAATGCTGGCACGAATCGGGTCTTTGAAAACTGGAACCAGACAATGGGGGTATATACAGTAATTTAAAAAAAAAGGGCTTGCTCATAACCATATCGAATACGACTCAACCGGAAAAAGCCGAGTAAGAGTCAAGACTGAGAAGCAATTCAGAGATTCAGTGGACTGGTCGATCGAGTGCATGTGCCACGGTAGTCGGACACGCGATTCTCATAAGAGGGCTTTGTGCCCTGCCATACGATTGGACAGAGCTGGACCGACCGGTGGCTGACTGCCTGGTTCCAACGTCCTTTCTTGGCCGTTCTTTTAGTCTTTTTTAGGACTTGGAACGTATTTAAGGTGGCTTGGATTTGTCGCTGTTCCTCCCTCTTTCTTGTCAAACCCTCCCTCCTTCCCACCACTTTTCTGTCCATCGCCAGGTCGGTCAATAATCGAAGGGGACATCTTCCTGCAATCCCCCTTCCATTCGCATACTTTCCAAAGAGTCTACTCTTGAATTCTATCTTTTGCAATGGCTCAGACGACGTACCTCATCACCGGTGCCAACAAAGGTGGGAAAAACAAGCGTTCGAATTCAAAGGCGGGGTTCTTTGTTTATTTTGCCCCTTTTTGACAGCATTAAATCCGCAATTACCTCTGATAATCAAATCAACAGCCGACACACCTCGATTGCAATCTGTCATACCGTGTAAATGAATTATTTAGATTGTGTTCATTCGTCGTACTGATTCTTTGGCACAGGCATTGGCCGCGCCATGGTGCAGCAGCTGTTGCAGCGCGCCAACACCACCGTCATCGCCTGTGTTCGCCAGCCGAACGACCCGACCGGCGTCTCACTCAAGGAGATTGCAATCACCGAGTCGAGCCGCCTTGTTCTGGTGCAGCTGCGCAATCCAGCCGACTATGCCGCGCTGCCGCAAACACTGGCCGCCCAGGCCGTGGCGCGCATTGACGTCGTCATTGCCAATGCCGGACACTCTACCGGACTCGACAAGTCGCTGCTCGAGACGACCGTTGACGACGTCGTTTACGACTGTACCGTCAATGCGGCAGGTCCGCTGCGACTTTTTGTGGCAACATGGCCGCTCCAAGAGGTGTCTGCCGCGGACACCACGGCTGCCACCCGGTTTATCCTGATCAGCAGCACCCTGGGCAGCATTGGCGTGCAGGACCAAGAGAGCATGCCGGTCGGCGTGTCGTACGGGATGAGCAAGGCGGCGGCCAACTGGTTTGCCAAGAAGTTGAGCATCGACTTTAAGGACAAGGGCCTGGTGGCAGGCGTCTTGCATCCTGGGTAGGCATTTTTTTTGTTGCTTCCCACCATATTTGCTCCAGTCGTAGTGTATTTTACTGACCATGCTACATCAGCTGGGTAAAGACTTACATGGGACAGGCGCTGGCCGATGCGCTGGGCATCAAGGAGCCTCCAATCACGGCCGACGAGAGCGCGCAGCAGTGCCTCGAGCAGATTGACGACTGGACACCCGAGAAGAACGGCAAATTCCTGACGTACACAGGCAAGGAGCTGCCATGGTAGACGTCCGTACGGACCAAGCAGGGGGTTAATACAAGCCACTGTGCGCTGCCTATTGTATTCCTCAATCTATTGTCCATGCCTGCATCCGAAATGCTTTGCTTTGCTTTCATTGGGATTGGACCTTTCAATTACTACTTGCATATGTATGCTTGCTTGTCGATTTACAACACGAATAATCTTTATGTGGTCTTTCGGGCCAGTACAATGTATGATGTACGATACTCTGCAACGCGCAGACCTGTACCTCGGTGTTGTAGGACTTTTATATCTAATGGCGCCATAATACCACGTCGTCAAGAAATTACCGACATCCCCGGACGTCGAGCGTCGATGTTTTCGACATTTGACATTTGTTTCATCTCACTTTGTTGAGGATGTCATAATCTAGGACTTCCCAGCACATATCACAGACCGTACATCGTCGCATTTGAATGATGCAATCAGTATTGAGCGTAGTGGTGCAATGAATTGGCCTCCTTTATTGTGGAAACTTGGTGCATTTTAAGTATAACCAAGAAAACAAGAAGGAGTATAATCGCAGTCAACAATCTTATCTTAGAGATGTGGGCATGGTTGGATACGTTGGGAGAGACAGGTATTAGGCTCCGGCATTTAATTGCCTGGCAGACGGTACGACATAGATCCGTTTCGCTGCAAAGTCCATGGAAAGTACCTGGAGGAAGGTCAAATAAAGTCCAAATAAGGAGTGCCAAGGCTTAAGACTGGTGGCGGACATGGCCGATGATCGATGACCGATGGCCGACGAACAATACGGCCGAGTTGCTTCGTGGATTATCAACAAGTTCGCACACCCAGAACCAGGACCGCTTCACGTGAATATGGTAAGAGACTCGTATATACTAGCAATACCTTTAGTTTTTATTTGTTTTATATTTGAACGCAAAAGGAACCCAGTAGTCGAGCTTGACCAGCAAGGCAGCTTAAAATTACTCGAAAATAATTCCAGTCGCGAGGACAGGATCCTACAAACCCGGCGGCAAGGGAATATCGCAAACGACGCCATCTTTCCCTGGTACTGCTTAACTTTTGACGGGGAATAAAACCATGCAACGTTGCCGCCGCCACGTCGATATGTCGTAGGACTTTTACGCTTGGTTGGGCTGGTGCTGGACAACTATGCACAGACGCGTCAACATGGACAAAGAGTTTTCTCGTTTCGGAGCGACCCCCGGCTTTCGCAGCGTATTGCGGAGGATAGCGCCCTTTTTTGTGGCCCTTTTCCGGCGGCCATAATTGCAACGGGATTGGAGAGTACGACGGGCAGGTAAGACGGCAAAACGATTCGCAAAAAGACCCAACGACAGGCTGAGGCTGCGTGACGGCTTGCCCGATTCAGCAGTCTGGGGAATAAACACCAACGCTGCGCTCCGGCGGGATGACACTGACCGCCCACACTGACCGCCCTTGGCCACTGCCGTCCGTAATGGGGCCGGCAACTTGTGGTAAGAGGGAAAAAAAGAAGCAAAAGGGCAATAGGAAAAACATATGTAAATGTGCAATTCAGCGGATGACAAAGGCGGCTGCATTTTGCACCCGTAAAAGGCGGTAACACTGCCGTAGGACTTGCATGTCTCCGAAGAGGCGAACGTCACCAAATGCAGGCAGTGGCAGCGTGATCGGCATATGCGTTAAAAAAACCCTAAAAAAGCAAAGAAAACAAAAGATGACGAGCACTGTCGGCGATGGACGACTGGAGCAGGGTAGAGAGGTACGATGTAAAAGTGGGGTTGGCCAGCGCCTGCCAGTACGGCCTGCCACTTGCCACAAGGCGGGAACTCCCCCGCGAAGCCGTTTCGGCACCGATGCCGCAAAGTGTCAGATGAAGAACGACATACAAACAGACCCCTACCAACTGACACCACTCTTGTCGTTCCGCATTCCCCTACATTCTCATCATTGACTATTCTTTTAGTTCTTTACTTTCCCCGATCCAAGATGGCACGCTGTTTGCCATCCGTGCTGCATTGTCACCCAACATATGTCGTTCGGGATGCGTGGGCTCGGCTAACTGACCGTGTTGTTGTGATCTCCCTTTCCTATCCTTATGCAACATGCACGCAGTAGTATCTCCTTACGTTTTGATGCATTGCCCATTTGTCATATCGGCCTCGCTTATGACTATCTCACCAGCTACGGCGGAATGACTTCTTCGATTGCTCCTTCCGCAATCTGTGTGGGTGGACTCCGCTTGCCACGGCCTTGATGTGGGTCGCCACCGCCGAAATTGGCTGTTCTGCAGCGCACCGGAGCAGGTCCTCTCTCCTCTTTCCTTTTCCTCCATTGGCTCATTCTTCTCTTACCATCCATCGAAGATTTACAGTGAATAAAATTTGATAAGTTGGTCTCTGCTACTTGGCGAGTTACTTTTTCTTGTAAAATTTGACGGTGACGTGCTCATTCTCTCCCATGTCTTTTGTATTGCAATCCCTGTCCCTATCGCACTCGTAGCTCCGATCCTGTTCCTTCCTCATTTTCCTTGTCGATGCATTGCGCGTGCCGACCGACGTGCATCTGCACAAAGGGGGGAAGGTACGACCCAGGATCTGCAGGTGGAGACTTGCCAGTCCCTAGTCATGTCGAAATCTGACGCCCAAACGCCGTTGGCCGGATGGCAGTTTTTCTTGGAAAGCTTGTCTAGATCGAGCCAAGCACTCACCACGCAGCACCCAAACACCCGCGCGAACCACAAAACCAACGTCCCTTCTCCGTGCCGTCTTTTGCGTAATGGCCGACGGTGGTGTCTCTGGTGGCTCGGAGCCGGCGCGGAGAATAATTGCAGCAATTCCCCCATATCTTTTGTTGCCTGCATCGCTCCTTCTTTCGCAAGAAAGGAGGCAACTGCCTTGGAAGGAGTGACATGATTTTGTTGGGGCGATGCAGGAGCGATGGAGGTCTCTTTCCCCAGGACACCGTCCATGGCAAGGGGTGGCATTTAGTATTTTCTGTTTTGTACGGATGCACGATAATTTGCATCTCTGCTACTTTTCTCTTCTCCCTTGTCGTATTTTGTCCGTCAATCTTTTCCATTCTTAACATTTTCTGTGTCCCCAACCGCAACTTAGGACTTCCACCTACAACACGGCACGTCCTCGATGCACTCATTGCTTGCCGCCCCATCCGTATACAAATTGAGCACCGTCTCGTTTATTATATATTAAACGTTCCCGAGTCCCAGGTCAAGCAACGACAAAATAGACGACGACTATCGACCAGAAGAAGAAGCACATTGATGATAATCGAGGTTAACAACTCAAATGCCAAGACCCAAAGTCATCATCAACAGCAAGCGGCTCTCACTTCCTTAATAGCCTGCATAGACTTACACCCACACGCTACATTTGCTCCATCTGACTTCATCACGTTTATATTGTACACAGCATCGTATTACATCATCTGTTTCTATACCTCACGCCATTGACAGCCCCTCCTCTTTCTCACAATGCCTGAAAAGAACAAAGAGGAGGCGGTGCTAGGGACACCAACGTCCGATGTGGACCGCGAGCTCCAAGGCGAAGAAGACGACCTCGCCGTCGAAGAACTTCATCCCTTTAGCAACGTTTCAACTAGTGCTGCTGCTGTCCTCGATGAGAAGACATCCGGATCCGACTGCGATGAAAAATCATCCGTCAAGGGTGCTGACGGTGTGATCACCGCTGTGGCTGCCACGTCCGAAAAGAAGGAGGACGCGGACGGCGAGAACGACGGCCCACCACCGCCGCCATACTCACGCTTCACGCACCGCCAGAAAATCGGCATCACACTCACAGTCTCCTTCCTGGCCATCATTTCGCCGCTATCCGGTCAAATCTACCTGCCAGCGCTCAACTCGCTTGCGACAGACCTGCACGTGTCCATCTCGTCTATTAATCTGACCATCACCACGTTTATGGTATGCGATTCGGTCACATAACAATTGATATCGACCCAAGCTGACATTTCACAGATTTTCCAAGGCATCACGCCGTCATTCATTGGAAACTTCTCCGATATCTACGGCCGTCGTCCCGCTTACCTCATCTGTTTCTCCATCTATGTCTTCGCAAACCTCGGCCTGGCCTTGCAGGACAGTTACCCGGCCCTCATTGTGCTGCGTTGCTTCCAGAGCATGGGCAGCAGTGCCACCATCTCGCTGAGCAGTGCGACAGTCGCCGACCTCGTGACCCGTGCCGAGCGTGGCAAGTACATTGGCTTTGCCGCCATGGGCGTCACGCTCGGCCCGGCGCTCGGTCCCGTGGCCGGTGGTCTCCTTACCCAATACTTTGGGTGGCACGGAATCTTTTGGTTCTTGTTGATTTTGTCATCGGTCCTTTTTACATTCATGTTCTGTTTCCTGCCAGAGACCTGCCGCAATATCGTTGGAAACGGTAGCGTCCTGCCGCCCTGGTGGAACATGTCTCTCTATCAGTTTCTCAAAACGCGCCGTCTCAGTGCAGCGGAGCGTGCCGAGGTCGGAGACCGGTCCACTTTGACTAGAGGCCGCCGTCGGCCGAACCCGTTTGCGGCCCTCAAGATTTTGATGGAGCGCGAGGGTGGTGTCACCCTCGGCTGCGGCTCGCTGCTGGCGGCCGGCTACTTTATGGTCACCACGACCTTGTCTGAACAGCTGCGCGACCGTTTCGGCTTCTCACCCGTCACGGTCGGCCTCTGCTACCTGCCCCTCGGGTTTGGCACGCTGTCCTCGCGGTGGAGCATTGGTCTTCTGCTCGACTGGAACTTTCGACGATGGGCACGTATCCTCGGCATCAGCATTGACCTCAACAAGCAGCAGAACTTGGACGTCTTTCCCATTGAAAAGATCCGCCTGCAAATCTCCATCTGCGCCATCTACATGGCCTCGGTGGCCGTCATCGCCTACGGCTGGACCATGCAGAGCCACGCGTCGCTCGCCGGGATTGAGGTTGCGCTCTTCTTCCTGGGCGTCTTCTTTGCCGGCTCCATGAACGGCATCAACACCTTGATCGTCGACACCCACGCTGAATCGCCTGCCACCGCCGTTGCCGCCAACAACCTGTTTCGCTGCTTTGTCAGCTCCGGTGGCACCGCCATTGCGCTGCCGCTCATCAACCGCATCGGCATCGGCTTCACGGCCCTTTTTATTGCCGGCGTGTGGGTGGTATTTAGTCCTGTCCTGTGGCTGGTCATGTTCCGCGGTGCTGAGTGGCGCAAGAACACCATGGCCAAAAAGGCCGCGAAGAAGGCCGCCAAGGACGCACAAAGGGAGGCAGCATCCTCCAATGTATAAGGATAAACGAGACGCAGGCATTGATCCGAGCGAGTCCAAGGGGGACGAAGCCAGGCTCACAAGCCACCACAACAAGTACTTGGGGGTATCGGAATTATCCGTCTTACGTCCATAGTAGACGGGCAGCAGCAAAAGGTATTTGTAAATATATAGCAGGTTAGTAGAACACATCAAAATGGTATACCATGGGCGTGAGATCTGATGGGATCCTAGGCGTATATGAAAATGAGTGATACTCGCGTCCTGGAGATGATATTATCCTGCTCTAGACCCTCGCTCTGTTGGTCTCCCTTTTTCTTTTCCTCCCGGTAAAGTATAAAAGCTGAAAGGACTACGTTGTCGCGTGGTGATGTTGTGATCGGCCAACGTGGTCACGTGCCACGATCATAAGGGCCCACATCGTCGTGTGCGCCCTGTCGGTGACATCTGTTTGGAGGGGCACTTTTTGAGAGAGATTTTACTTGTTTCTTGGTCGAATGTCTTGGCAACTTTGAGCCCGGGCGGACCGCTTTCCAGCGGAACCACGCTCAATCTACCCAATCAATTGTCATGACACTCTACATTCGTACGAATCCCACGAAACTTGCCAGATTCATACAGCCCTGACAGAACGTTCTATGCCGCCGTTTAAATCCTTCGCCTTCCTTTTCCTTCCTTCTCCTTCCTTCTAGCAGCGCCCAAACAATATAAAAGGCCCCATGCACACTGGCAGCTTTCCTCAAGATCCTCCACCGCGGAACTTACCGAATATTCCAGCAATCGTATCGTGACAGCAACCAACCGCCAGGATCGAGACAGATGCCCCCTCGGTCGTGCCTTTCCTCTGGTTTTGGTGTGCCATTTACACAACGGCTGGCAGCTCTCTTTGGCAAGACAAAGCAATCACAATTCACTGCGTCGGTGTCAAGTGTATCGGCAGTATCTGTTAGAGCAGTATCAGCCACATCGAGCACATTGGCAGCACCAACATCAGCGGCGTTCTCTTCATTTTCCTCGTTTGCGCAATTCCGGCAAACCTCGGGGCGGCAAACGCAACTTCGCTTTCAAGTCCTACAGACTCCGGCCGCGCTTTCGCGAGAAACCCCGTACACTCGCTCCTTCCCTGGATCCTCCACACCCCCCACGCTGCTCCTGCCATCCACATCGTATATCGGCCGCTCCTTCCAGTCAAACCCTCCGCCCCTTGTATTCCAGAAGAGAATGGCACATTCAACTGCCAACGGCAAAGACGGTATTGATGTGGCAGCGCGGATCGCCGACGCCACCACCTACGTGCATGATCCTCCACTGCCGCAACACCTCAAGATCGTGGCCCTCGAGACGTTCTTCACGCCTCTGCCGCCACTCATCATCCCCAAGCCGTACACCTACACCCTCACCGAGTACGAGCGCACCACGGCTGACCAGGTGGCAGAACGCATCCAGGATGCCGACATCGTCATCACGACCGTCGTGCCCATCCGTGCGGCGGCACTCTCCGCGGCCAATGCGCCCCGTTTGCGCCTGGTTGCCGTCATGGCCTCGGGCGTCGACGCCGTCGACCTGGCGGCGTGCGCCGCCCGCGGCATCCGCGTCCTGAACAGCCCCAACTGCAACTCCATCTCCGTCGCCGAGCACGTGGTGTCCCTGTACCTCGCCGCACGCCGGTCGCTCTTCCCCGTGCAGCGCGCCCTCGGCCGCGGCGATTGGTCCCACATGGGCGGCATCATGATGCGCGCCTACACGGCGGGCGCGCCGCCACGCAGCTGCTACGACGAGACGGTCGGCATTATCGGGTACGGCGGCGTCGGCCAGGCGGCGGCACAGCTGTTTGGCGCACTGGGCATGAAGGTCATCGTGTCTGGGCGGCGGGGCGAGACGGCGGCCCCCACCACCACCACGACAACCACAGCGACGCAGCAGCGCAGCAGCGATCGCGTGCCATTCGACGAGGTCATCCAGCGCGCCAGCGTCCTGGTCGTGTGCTGTCCGCTGGTGCCGGACACGAAGAACCTGATTGGCGCCGCCGAATTTGCAAAAATGCAGCCGGATACGATTCTCATCAATGTGGCGCGCGGCGGCATTGTCGGCGAACAGGCTCTGGTGGATGCGCTGCGGGCACGCCGTATCGGCGGTGCGGGCGTGGACGTGTTCGACCATGAGCCGGCCACGCCCGAGTCCAGTCCTCTCGTCGCCGCCGCCGCGACCGAGGACCTGAACTTGATTATCACGGGCCACACGGCGTGGGTCTCGGCGAGCACGCGGGCCAACTACCAGCGGGTGGTGCAAGAGAACGTCGAGCGATTCCTCCGAGGAACAGCTGACGCGGACCGGACAAAGGCGTGACGAGGGCGGCATGTATATGGTGGATCATCAATGGACCCTGACTCGAAACTTACCAGACTTGCATATGTAAACCGGCTAGACAATAAACATATTTTAAATACGCTTGCCCCAGTAGTTTAAAACATATATCCGTTTTTGAAGCGCCACTTTTATTTGAACGTACTTTGTCGTTCTTCCCCAAGAGGGAGGGCATTGAAAATAGATTATATTTTCCACATAAAAATTAAGTGAAAGAAAATAAGTTCTTCCTGTTACAGGCACCTCCTTCTGGTTTTATCGTCATATGCCACGCTCCTCTTGTGTCAGCGCCTGCGCCCATTCTGCTTCCTTGTTTTAGCAGTTCTCATCTTGCGAGGCAATGTGACTGGAGACGAAACGTCTTCGACCATGGTCGAGGGTTTCTTTTCCGTTCCCATCGCCAACGTGGCTGCATCTGATGCATTTGAGGACACAGCCCGGCCCCTGGTCGAGGCCGATGCTGCAGAGCATTGTGACGACGCAGATGATGGCGAAGATGGTGAAGATGGCGATGTCACAGACTTTGGCGCCGCTTTTGCTCGTGTGGTTGTGGCAGACACTCGTACATTTCCTGCAGCCGTCTGCCCTGCACCCGTGGCGGCCGCCGCCGTCGTTGTATATTCCGCCGGGTAGTAATAGTAATAGGCCTGACCATCGCTACCACCGCCTCGCACTCTCGCACTGTCTGCACCACCCGCTGTTCGCGTTGCGTATGACGTCGTGTCGGCGTAGTAGGAGCGCGTGCTGCGACTGCGGCTGCGTCGACGCCGGCCTTTGAACCGTGACGAGTACGTCACACAGATGCAGCCGACGAGCAGCAGAAAGAAGAAGATGCCGAGAACGATGGCCGCGATAGCGCCGGGGCTGAGGTAGTAGTGCCAGCCTGGTGGATGACCAAAGGGCGGCCCATCGCCAGGAGGGCCTCCCGGTGCCCAGTCTCGGGATAGAAGGGCAGCCAGGATGCGCTCCGATGCTGCTTTGGCAGGCGCCATTGTACGACGCTGTGCAATCGTGTATCGTGTGTTTGTAGTGCGATATGTTGACAAGAGGCGTATTTGGTGCAAGTAGTGTAGTATTCTGGCTCGACAAGACGGACTTGGCGATTATATTCTAACGACAGGTGATAGTGTCTTGCAACATAGCGCTGCCAGTCTATAAAGTATGTCGTGCATATGCATGTTTATAGATGCGGGGAGTGAAAAACGGCAGGGTACCGAGCTCGCTCATTCTATTTATGCAACCGCGGTTTACTGGAGAGATGACCGAGACATGTCTGTTCGCAGCCAGAATTGTCCGATGGAAGTTCCAGCCTCCCGATTTTCTCTTGGTGTTGATGATTTCTTCCGACGTATTGCCAGATATAGTGCAGAATTCATTTATACAGAACGTGGAGACAGGGGATCCTCTAAATGGCCCGCAACGTAGACTCGGCAAGATACATGGAAGCAAGAAGGAAAGGCACTTGGTAGAACATGGCAACCAGGTAGTAGAACGAGACAAGACGGATTGCCTGGACCTGGTTGCAACATCAAATTATTCTTTTCAAGTACAGTGTGTCAATAAGGGGCCAGGTGGCAATTACCCGCTTCAACAACCGTCCAATAAGGTCGATCATGTTTAAATGTAGGGCGAAAAGAAAACCAAATTGATGGGTGAGGACTGGAATAGCGGCTAATTGCGTAGGATGAAATAAATTGCATACGGGAGTACTCCAAACACAGTCTTCCCTCTTGTATCTGCCCATTTATTTGAGGCATTCCAAGCATTCGACGTCATAAGAGATATCTGTATCTGCGTTGCTGTCGCCCGATGCCGGGCTAGACATCCTAATGTCGTGCAGCACATGCCACCACTCTTTGTTGTTTTCCAACCTAAATAGTTGACAGCCGGTTGAAAAGTCGTGCGAGGTTTTGAACGTCGTCGACAGGCAGCGGAAGCACACAGTCGCAGCATGTGCTGTGGACTACCAGTCGCTCCTTCCCACAACCAGTACCACCCCCATATGGAAGGTGCATTACTTGGTGTTTCCATAAGGACATAACGAGAAGAGAACGGCATTGAGAAGAAGAGTCTTTGTCGATGATACTGCTCTTCCAATATACGAATATTCCCACAAGACTTACGATGCCCATCAATGCACCATTTATCGACGAACTACCGTTCGATCAATTTGGACTCGCCATGTACGAAGCCCGCAGAACCTCGGCGGGATCAATTCACGACGATTGGGCATTTCCCAGCAAAAGGCACAAAAATCATGCAACGCAAGGCAACCCACGTCGCCTATGCTGGCGAAAGTCACTGAGCCACATTTGACCAATCGTCGATGAGTGGCTGTGGGAATGCGGCTGAAAATAGATGGGCCGTCGTCGATTGAGGGGTCGGCCACCGTAAGCTTTCCAACGATATAAAACTGTGTGTGCCAGTCTTCACACGCTTGACGGACTCTACCTTTGGTGGCCCATAGCATCTCCTTTGGCGTCAGCATCATGTCCTTCCTTCACAGCCGGTCATCTCGCGTAGATCGCATAACGGTGCCAGGTGGGCTGGCACAGCCAGAGCCGTTCGAACCATCCGAGGAGCTACGCCGCAAGAACATTCGGCGAACGCGTACTCGATCGCGGTCCAGAAAATTGCATACGGAATCCAGCGAAGATGACAGCACCTCTAGCATCGATAGGGTGGTGGAACGCCGCCTGCGCCGAGGAAGACCCCGCCAGGAGGACGACATGCGACATCTTAAAATAGGTCGAGATCGAAGCCGACCAGACAAACCCTCCAACGTTGTCCACAGTCTTCTTCAAAACACATCCGTTTTCCAGCAAGAAGCGCTTAGACGTCAACGTGAAATACCCTACTACTCAGAGTCCGAAAGCGACAAGGACCGAGAAGAATCAAAGGAGAGAAAGTCGAACAGGACTACTTCACGTGGCCCACCGAAGGGTGAGACGCAAATTAAAAATACTTTAACAAAAGCCACACCACCAGGCAAAGCAGAAGCTAACACCTTGTAGGAGACGCGGGTTCAGGAACCGGAAGTGACACCGTCGTTCGTCCGCATCCCGGCCTCGACGGACAAAAAACACACCAAGAGCCCCCGACTCCGCCAGGGCCTGCTACCACCGCAGCTGTGTCTGACTGGCAACCAGAGCAGATGTATAACCCATTCAGCATCATGCCCATCTACCCAGTACTTTCTGAGATGCTAGGCGATGTACGCGACACATCCCCGACGCGCATTATCTGGCTGCAGAAAAAAGCAGCTGGTATGGAAGGCAGCGAGGTCATGGAGCGTATCATGGGCCTTTTTGGCCTAGAGGGATTTAAGAAGCACTGCCTCTCGCTGTACGAGCGTATTGTTTCGGTGCCAGCGCCACTGCGTCCGAGCGAGGCTGGCAACGTCGACATCTTTATCGAGGGCAGCGAAGGCGCCGGGCAGGACCTTGCTGCGCTGCGTTATCGTGAGCTGTTGGTGTCACTGCAAGTCATTCCTCGACCGTCTTTGATACACTACTTTACTGAAGAACCTGCGTCTATCGCCACCGCATTGCAAACTGTTAAAAAGACTCTGACGCAAAATGTCGACAGCCCGTCGAAGAAAAGTGTATGTATCTGCTCCCTTATACGTCGTGATATCCTTGGTGTGTTTAGTGAGCAAGTTGTTAATGCAGCCTGCTAGATTGTGCTTGTGTACCGCGGAGACACGTCAAGCGATCAGGCACAGTTTATCAACACACGAGAGCAGGCTCCATGGGAATCCAACAGACCAGAAAACGATTGGCACATTGTCTGGATCGGCGTCGGAACGTCTTCCAGGGGAAGAAAGTTCGGAAATCGTCAGTCCACTGTGCCGACAGTCCATGCCGAAGATCTTACTTTTACGGAGTTGTGTCATGGCTTGTGTTTTCTCCTTGGTTTTGGAGATTCCCTCTCCGTACAGGTCGAAGAAGGTCCCAGCGGAGATGTGATTTCAAAGACTGTCGAACGGATCATACGGGGGCACAGTTATCGAGGAGCATGGCAGCAGTGGACAACACTCGAGTCCAGCGCCAGGATGCTTCGCCAGCGGCGTCTTCGCCCGTACTGGACAACGACTGGGGCCATTACTATCTCTGCACTTGAGTCTGCCGGTCACTACTATGGGAGCTGCCACCTTCTGGGCGAGACGCCAAGGGAAGTTCGGGCGCGCGTTAGCGAATACGAACAGCTGATGCAAATGGTTGGTCTCGATGGCGTCAAAGCAGACGTGACGGCCCTGATAGAAAGAGAACAATGGAATCAGCAACAGCGTCTGGACAACAACGAGACACGGTTGTCCCGGTATCAGAGAGCGGCGCTGCACCGTTGTTTTGTCGGACCGCCCGGAACAGGACGGCGGACAGTGGCCAAACTGTACGCACGCATCTTGTGGCGGCTCGGACTTGTCGAGGGCATGGAAACCGTCACACTATCGCTAGCATCTCTCATCGGCCTGACGCGTCAAGCTATTGAGCGGCACGTACACAAAGCTTTCACTGACACAAAAAATGTCGGAGTCGTCATTGTCGAGGACATATGCATTGATGGCCTACGCTCTGCTGTACAAGAAACGTCCAACAACGCAAAACGTGAGAAGAGTGACGAAGAGGACTCCAACGGAGACGAGCAAGACGATGGTAGTGATATTGACGCCATCCACGACAAAATCCCTCGGCAAGCAGTACGACACAGGAATCATGAGATGCGACCCTTCGTCTTCGATCTTCTGACCAAACGCGTCAAGACGCTGGATGTGCAGGACACGGGTCCAGTTCTCGTTCTCGTCGGCCTTGCTACACAGTCTGCAGGCGCGAATCTTGCTCACCTCCCACTCCAATTGACTGATTCCAAAAGAGACATGGACAGCTCGCATGCATCGATATCTTCGAGCCTGCGACAGCTGTTCCTGAGCACGACGCAAATCATTTCCCTCAAACCATATTCGGTTGAAGAGCTGTCGTTGTTGCTCCAACGGCGTCTCTCAAGAAAACACGGCCAACCGTGGCCAATGAATAAGGCCGAGTTGCGGGATGCGATGCGCATTGAACGCTTGCGGCCAAGTTTCGACAACATCTGCTTTGTTGAACGCGTGGCGCTGCACCCAATGGGCTCCGAAACGCCTCGTGGCAGCGCGCTCGATGACAAGCCGTCGGACGAAGGAGACAACTGGCATCGACGCTCCGAATCAAGCTCGTCCACGGTGCCTTCCAAAAACGATGCGAAAATCGCACAGCGGCCTAGCGGCCGTGCCTCTTCAAGCCCAACGGTCGGAGACCTATTTGGGCTCGGCCCCATTGCGGACGTATTCGAGACCATTGATACCACGGCTACACATCTAACGCAGGGCCAGCTGGAAGATCCACGGCCTCACGTGCCATATCTCTTTTTATTTTCTGGGCCTCCTGGCAGCGGCAAAACGTCAGTGCTGAACAAAGTCCTTGTGCCGCTGTACTTTACCCTTGGTTTAGTGGACAAACAGGAGATCGTGTCATGCAACACATCCGAGCTCATGTACCCGCGATCCCAATCAAACGTTGGCAACAGACTTGACCATACCAAGGACATTACACGAGTCTCCGAGGTGCACGTGAAGCGTATGATGGCATTGGCATTTGGCAAAGTACTCCATATCCGCGGCCACAGAACAACAGGCGACACACGGCACCTCGCCAATGACAACGCCGAGGACCCAACAGCCTGTCGAGACAAGATCCTGACCTACATCACAGAGCTTTTGGAGGCGGATAACCACCTGTGGACGCACAACCTCATTGTTGTCTTCGAAGAGGACAGTGCCACGAGCGAGGCCAATAATGCTAGCGCCGCCAGCCTGGCAACCGGTCTATTTACGCATCTTCGTTTCCCGGCAATCTCCACCGCCAGCGTGATTTTGAGCATACTCCAGAAAAAGGTCGCCACTGCGTTTATTGAACTGCCACTCCTTTGGAAGCCAAAGCAGACCAGCACGGACTCCAATCCAGATGCGGTGGTAAAGAGACGGCTAGAGTCGATGCTAGAGCAGATTGCCCAACGACCGGCCTTCTCCGGGCGGGAACTCGACGTTTTGGCCAAGGACATTGTGCGGTATACTTATAGTCAATTGATGCCGCACCCACTACTCGCCGACAAAACGAAAGAGGGGGACTCGAGCCGACAGCCTGACCCGATATGTTTGAAGGTGTCGCATCTAATAGAGATTCTCTACCGAAGGTATACCAACGCTATACCAATCATGATCTACGATCCGCAGAAGAAACCTTACGGTCGCACGAAAGAGTCGGACTAGTCTCGATCCTTTTAGCTGGATATTGTCAAACGGATTGAAAATATAATAGACTCTGGCACGGTTTACCGATTACACGACATGACGACGGCTAGGTATCAATTGTCCTTCTCGTCTTCTGTCCGGTCGTGCGTTGAGTCGTTGAGTCTGAAGATTGTTGTACCAACTCGTACAGCCACAGGAGATGACAAGAGAAGCCAATATGATTATGTAGTACAAGCAACCACGTGCTGTATTTTGATACATTTATTTTCGTCGTGCAAGACAACTTTGCTCGGCCTCTGTCAAGAATCACATCTTTTACAGGACCTAGCTTCACAAGGTCGCAGTACCTCGTAGTGTTAATATAATTCTGTCTGGAGAAAACGAACGTCTTACAGCTGCTTCCGAAGGCCAGCACGCTAAACGGCCGTCAATGGTTCCTGCTACTTTGAAACCCGCGACTGCGACTCTCTTTTGTAACCTGTCAGAAGTTCCTCGTGCAGGCCGTTGCCTTCGGCGTATGAGGATAAAAATATACAATAGCGGCCGCTCCCGTAAGCAAAGTAGACCAAGAAGTGCAACCGTACCTTGTGAGAGTACGTGCTTCAATGATAGTTTATGTCAGTGCCTTGTTTTGTTGCACGTGGGCCTGATCTTGTGTTTTCCATTCACACTGCGAATGACAAGGCTGAGAATGTGTGGAAGCCTTTTGCTAGTGGCTGATTACATACGAGAGGTGGAGCAAGACCGCTGCCAAGTGCACGTACCGAGCTTGTTCCGATGACGGAGTTTAGCTACGCCCTGTGGCAGGTTGATTACCAATTCCTCAACAGGCAGATTGCACCGCTGAACCAAACGACTTCCAGTATGCGCCAGATGCGGTGCAAAATAAAGGATGACCGAGACGACTTCATTTATTTCGTTGGCGGTCGTATACGAAGCGTTTGTCCTTCTTTTTTTTCTTTCGCTATTTTGCCCATTCCCAAATCATGATCCTCGGCGAGCCTGTCCGGCCATCGTCAAACTCTTCTGGCCTCCAAAGGTTCACTTTATTTTTACCGTCCTTGTTGCCTACATGCAATTCTTGTCCTCGACAGCTGCTTCAGAATGTGCATTATAAATCGAAACGCTGACAAACTCACAGCTGCGACAAGCTAAGAGAAAACAATTTGCAGCTAATGCAGGTTACGTTGCTGGGCTGGGAGGTGGAAGGTGTACATTCGTAACAGCGAGTAAGATACAGTAAGCAAACACTGTAGGTTGTAATGCACTGTGCTGTTTGCCATTGGAAACGCATCGCCCTGGAGCCAGACGCTTAGCCAAATGACTTTGCATGCGCTGGCGTCGCAAATGGAGGTGTAGAGAATGTGCTTTTCCTCCGTATTACTTGACTATCATTCTGTTGTTTCTTATTCCAGGTTCCAGTCACGCAGCAGTGAAAGCTTACGTTCCGAATTCGCTCGGCACGATCTCTCCAGTCGACGAGGTCAGAGCATCGACGCAATACGGAACCCTCCGAGCCTCCCAGTGAGTCCTCTGTAAGATACGCTGAAAGCATGTATTCTGTGAGGAAAGGCCAAAAAGTCAATACGGTGCGCGGAAATTGACTCTCTTTTAGTTCTACATTAGGGCCTTTCGCAGCCACCCGCCGGTTTTACAGGCGCACCGCCCACTGTGCCTCCAGTGGTTCAGGCCTTGCCTTCTGGTCTTTCAAATTCCACATCGCTTTCTCCCACGGCCGGCTGCCGGAACATGTACGCATGTACGCCTCTTTGCACGTGCTTCAGTTCTCGGCAATCTGGCTGTTGGCTGCTGGGCTGTTGGTGATGTGGAATCTCCATGGCTTTTCTGCTTGGGCTACCAACCCGTGAAAACATCAAAAACGTGACCGCGCTGCACAATCGCGAATCGTTCACTTCGTACAGACGGCCATTGTCCCGCTCTGCACCCCCATGCTTGGATGCGGAGAGTGTGTATGATGTTGGCTTCATTGTACCGTCCGTACATGCAGAGATGCAGTTCAAATGTGCTGAAATGAAGCATGTGCATGTGGCACTGCGCAAGAACTCGTGTCGCTGGCACGCACGCGCTTGCCGCGGGGCAGTCACACTTTACAGCGATTCAGCAGCGAGTCTCCCCACTCCGGGTACTGTACCCTTCCCTTGGCGCGAGTTTTACAGGGTCCTTTCAACAGTTCACTCCAGAGAACCACCGCCCACGCCCCCAAAAGAGACAAGCCGTCCCAGGGCGAGCGGGGGCTGGTTTCTGTCTCGGCTGGACCTTGTGGTTACACTGTCGTAAATGACATTGTCCAGCCCATCATCCCATGTGGGGGGTCACGTCTCATCGCGAGCTTCGATGTTTTGGTCCGAGCTGTCCTCAATTGCACTTTTGCTGTCTGTTTGGTTCTGCTGTGTAGTTTTACTAATTTTGGTGTTTTTTCAAGTCCAGTCTGCGTGTTTCCTCGCTCTCACCAACTTTCGCAAGGGAAAGCGGAAAGCGTCATACAGAACGACTAAAAAATACGCGCCATTGTCGAGAGTGCCCGTTCTTTTTCGCACTGTCAATCTATCCGGGATTTGGTTGTGGCCAGGCTTTCGCATGCTGCGCTGCAATACGCCCTTGTCATAGTGGGGTGGGTGGTGGGTGGCGAGCGTGGGGTTCACATCGTTTGCCTTGGCCTTTTGCGAGTCAACACCCCCCTGTTTTCCTCTGTTTTTTCTGGTGCTTTGACTAATTATGAGGTGTGAGAGTTTGGGGCCTGCCGCCCACGTTTGTGCCTGCTCCAACAGCGTAGCCGCCCTGGATTTTCGGTCGCTCTTTCTCATTCACCCGCGCTGTTTCCTGCTAAACAGCATCCCTAATTCCCCTTTCCGGCCTGTGCCCGAGTTAGTTCATTTTTCATTTTCATTTTTGGCCCTTTATAACGGCGCTAGTTGCTCAGTATTACCCTGGAAAATAGCGGACTTTTCCTTGTTTGGTGAAAATACAAAGGTACAAAGTACCAAAAACACTAGTGAACAAAGGCGGAAACCCGAGTCACCCTCACTTCCGACGAGAAGGAGCCGGGGTGGGGGGGCGCGCTTCCTCGGCTGTATTTGGCTGCTTTCGCTGTCTTCGCCCGCGTAACTTGGCTGCTGCGCAAACGGAGCCAGGCGCTGAAGCCGCGAGAACGGGTAGTGAACTCTAGGGAGTGGTGAGTGGTGTGGTGCCCACCATCGTGCGCTCTTTCCCTCACGGTAAAATTTTCGCTCCACTGCACACTGTGGGAAAGAGGGAGGTCGTCGCCTCTCGAGTCTCCTGTTGCTTCCGATCCAGGACTCTTCTACTCTCTCTTTTCCTGCTCTTTCGTTCCCCTCCCCTTCTCTTCTTTCTTTTCCTCTCCAATCCCCAAATATACAACAGACCAGGACGACAACATCGTGGGTCTTTGTACGACGACAATTGACAGCGTGACGCATTTTCGCAATCTCGACGACTGCTTCTCGCCTCCGCCCCCGTCTGCTCTGTTTCCCCCCTCTCTATTCGCCCCTCGCCTTGCAACCAGAAGCGCAGAACACCAGGAACACGGCAACGACTTCCGAGACATAGACAGTTGCTGATTGACCGGAAGACAAAACAATTAACGGGCTGTCTCTCCTCGACGACATTGACGACAAATTGAACGGGCCAGGAAGGAGTCTTTCAGTAGATTTTTTTTCCTTTTGCCGCAAAGGCCGCTCAAGCCACAGCATCCTATCATCGTCACCACAAATACCAGACAACAAGGACTCGCAAACAACAACCCTACACGATGGCCTTCAACGGACGGCGCGGCCCCAACATCTCGCAGTTTCTGCGGGAACTGCACGAGAACCCCACCCTCGTCGAGAACGACGCGGCGTTCTCCATGGACGACCAGGACCTCTCCATGTTCACCAACACCGAGTTCTTTGACCTCGAGACCGGCCAGAACACCGACTTCCAGCCGCAACACAACCAGCACCAGCCGCCCAAGCCCGGCTCCGAGAGCAACTCGGCCTCCTCGGCCGTCTCGCCGCTCAGCGAGGACACCATGACCACCATGGCGGATTTCTCACACATGGACTTCATGACAACAGGTACGGACGCCCAACTGATATCAGCTTCCTTGTAACGTCTATAATGTTCTGTTTTTGTGGTTTCCCCTAAGCACATTCTATGCACATATCCTTCGTTTTTTGGGCCTTTTCCCGTCATGCGAGTTTTTGTGGATGTTGGGAATCAAGCGCTCGTTCATCTCACTACCAGAGTTGACTCATCTCGATGGTGATGATGAGAATGCGACGGATGCCAATGACAAGCTCGGGTTTGCACGCACGCTCGCTTATCATTTCATCCTCTTATTTTCATTTATCACTGTCTCGCCTTCTTGACACCCGTTTTATTCGTTTTCCTGCACGTTCATGCCTCAAGCCTCTCCCCCATGTTATGCAAGTTTACACCTTACTCGTTAACTTCCGGACAGCAAGTGGCTGTTCGTTACCTTTTTTGGGGGTTTGGTTTTTGAGAGTGTGCTCTGAGCAGTAGGAACACATTCCTCGTGCTCCACTCGTGTTCTTATTTCCTGACCCTGTCTTTTATCGCTCTGCCTGTGGATTGTGGTTTTGGTGCAGATTTGGAGTCACTCGGGTCCAGTTGGGCACGTTCCCTTCTTGCCCTGTTCCCTTATTTCCCTCTTTTTCCTGTTCTTTGTCACCCTCTGCACCAGGGGATTGCGGGCAGCCTCCATTTGATTGGAACGTGGTTGCGTGCAATGCATGCAGAACCGGCCTCCCTCAAAGCGAAATAGAGCGAATGGGCGGAGCCTAAGAGGATGGTGCAAATTGCGGGATGTGATGGTGCAATACCCCGTGACTTGCGCTCATCGACACCGACTCCAACAAAGGGGGCCCGCAGAGCAGCCCATCTCGAAAACCCTCCCCCAGTTTTCGATCGTCGCCCAGCGCAGCACCCAAATATGGCGTCTTGACGCTTTTGCTTATCTTCCCATCCGTCTTTTTTTGCTATTTTCTTCTGTTTCCTTCTCTTGCTTCCCTTCCGTTTATTGTTGAAGCCTTTCCAATCTCCTTCCTTTTCTGGCTATATCCCTCGTCGCGTTTCTTTATATTCTGATATTCACTGGCGGACATCCTTTTCTTTCCCTGTTTCCTTATACCTGCCGCGTTCTTTGTTGCTTTTGTCTTCCATCTTTTATCATATCAATTAGCCTTGGGTCTCCCCATTGCACAAGGTCGTGCCAGCCATGCTGTGATTGCGACAACCAAGCGGCGCTCCTTTCCCTCAATCAACGAAAACCACAAGAACAGAACAAGCCACAAGACGACCCGCATCAATAAAGTGTCTAGCTTTTGCTAACATGGCATAATGTCCTCAGGCGACTTCAACTTCCCAGATTTTGGCGCCACCTACTCTTCGCCCTCCATTCCGTCGTACCAGGACAACCTGGGCAGCCTGCACCAGCCCATCCAACCCGGCCCGCCGTCCGTCTACTCGGCATCTAACTCCGTCAGCCACCCGCATTCTCGCAGCCACCACAACCCCAGCTATGCGTCCACTGCACCCACGCCGCCGCGGATAGCCGCCGCCGCTGACAAGCGGAAGGCCGATGTACTGAGCCACCAGCCACAGCCGGCAGGACGCGGCGCTGTCTCGTTTGAGGACCAGACCCGCGTTGCCGCCGAGGAGGACAAGCGCCGCCGCAACACGGCAGCCAGCGCCCGCTTCCGCATCAAGAAGAAGCAGCGCGAGCAGGCCCTCGAAAAGTCCGCCAAGGAGATGAACGAAAAGGTTCACGCCCTTGACAACCGCATCCAACAGCTCGAGACGGAGAACAAGTGGCTGAAGAGCATCGTGCTCGAGAAGAACGCCGGCAACGAGGAGTTCCTGGGAAAGCTGCTCGAGGATTTCAAGTCCAAGCACGCCAACGGCGCATCAAGTCGCAACGGTGCCGAGGCCGACTCCGAGACGGCCGTTGCTGTCGTTTCCGATGAGGAGAACGAGACAAGAGACTCGTCAGGCTAGATAATACATTGTCTACGCCAAACAAGTAAAATTAAAAAACACCAAAAATAACGAAAAGTCTCCTTTGTCTCTTTTTTCTTTACGTCTCTCTCGGTTACACCAACCAGTCTCTGCCAATACAAAGATGGGTGGATTCTTTGTGTTTTGAGGTACCTTTACGTCTTCTTTTACTTTTCTTGAATTTTATACGGGGTTATACGGTTTTGCTCTTTCTTGACAACTTTGGGGCGGTGTTAATTGTGTTTCAACAATCATGTATTTGATGTGGGATTTTTGGTATAGGGGAAGAAAGCCCTCTGGATGGAGAGGATGTGAATGATAGCGGAAATGGCGAATGTCGTCTACGATCATATTTTTTTATTGTATTTGACTCATCTTTCATCAACTTTTAATCGCCTCTTGTTCTTTTTATCTCCTTTTTGGTTCAGAAAAAACTACGTTTTGATATTTTCGTCTCTTGTGTAAGAGACGCAATACAAAAGAGATTTCCTGATAAACCTTGCTGTCTGCAGTGTTGAGAAGTCTGACGGTTTCCGAGCCACCACACACCTCACGCCCTAAAACGCCACAAAAAACTGCAAGGCACAATACACCTAGGAATACTGTGAGAGCGCCAACGGCAGCAGGTTAAAGTGCCCGTTCACCGCGGGACGTGCTGGAAGAAGCAAAACACACAAAAGACAAATCGAGAGGGGCGATCGACCTATGCCAGTCCCGGAGATGCCATCATTTCCTGGGGATATGGCTCAATACGTCCTCCACGTTAGGTGTTCAGAGAGAAACTGTAATGTGTAGGAGGAGGGATCAGAAGGGAAGGGTATGGACCATCTGCAATCGGGATTGCGTCTTTTTTCGTCTCGAAGATGCCTTTTTTGGTTGCAGCACACCAACGAAGAAGACAGTACTCGGCATGAATACAAAAAGTTTATATCGGAGCGGGAGAGATCACATACGATGTGCATGAGATCTCCGCTTCAGATGGATTCTTGAATGTTTGAACCTGTGATTTGCCCAAGCGGCAACGGTTCCCGTAGGACGGATATGTTTGAATCGATTATGTCGTACTCCGTATGCGTATCTGATATCTCGGGGGTACGTTGTGTGACGGCGCCGGTAAAATCGGGCAGATCGTCACGGTTCTTCACAATTCACAAGCCTTGAATCGTCCTTGGTCACATTGGCCATCGTATCTTGTACGTTCACGTACCAAGTACGTTGCCTCTGCGTCTCAGGCGCCAGGTGACGAGACGGCCCCGTTTAACAACATCTTTCGAGCATCTATCTAATCCTTGCAGGAGAAGCCTTCCGCCGCACGTCGCACGACATACTCGAAGACACATCAAGACTTGGCTTGTGCTTTTGGCCCGCCCCGATGTAGATCGGCTTGGTGTACAAAGTAAAAGTCAATCGAACTTTAATCCAGAAATAACGGGCGCGACAAAGCGTAACAGGCAGGGTGAGAGAACGGGTCATAAGTCTCAGGGACGGGGCGCTAGGTAGAACAGAGCGAAGAAGACATGCCGAGCAAGACAAACAAAAACTTCCCACCGAAGAACATTCGCCGGAAGAGAGGATCGACAATCTAAGTCGTAATTAATACATTCGTACATGCGAACCAAAGAGAGAAACGCGCAAACTTTCTTCGACTGGCGTTTTCATCGACTTTTTTTGGCCCTGATGACCCCCACTCCTTCATATCTATATAGGCCAGCAAAAAAACTGGGTATTTCGTCTGGTTTGGGATTGGCTTCCCCTTATTTGGTCACGAAACAACACCACAAGCGATGGCGTGCTCGTTGTGGACACAATGTCGACATCATCAAAAGCATTCGCCAGTGGACGCTGTGAAAGTTTTTTGAGAGAAAAAATTATGAAATATACAGGACGCAGGTACTCAGTGGCGCACATTCACTTCGGGTTTCAACCTGCACAGTGATTTGTAAATAGTCATAACAGTAATACCACACCACAGCCCTCTCCGCTTAATTTATGAATACCGTCCCTAAGGGGGAAAAAAAAATCAAAACAAAATAAAGCAACAGGTAACCAAGCAGTAGCCGACAACAACCGCTCGAAAATAGCCACTTTCCCTTTCAAGGAAGAAGTCCCGAGAGAGACGGGCTCGTGAAGGTGAAAATCAAATCAAAGGACCAACAACAGCTCGCGTTTACTGTACGAATCATTGACAGGTTCAGTTCCGAAACATATTCCTGGTCTGCAGTTCTCAGCCAATGCGCTGGACAGTCCGTTATACCCATCGTTCCTTCCTTACAAGTTTTGTTCCGCTGTTGCCAGATTTTGCGTACCCAATGCTCGCAGCTCAACGACCTGACAACAAATCTTACATAAGCAAAACAGCTCAGCTTGGGGACAATGATGATCTGTGCTCGTTGTCTGCAAGGAATGAAACATCACGATAGCAAAAAGTTCGTGGCTATTTAGGACCATATGGCTACAGGTCGCGTTAAGCACTGATGTTTAGAATACAGAACGCGTCTCTTGGCTTGTTTAGACAGCTCTGTGCATGTTGATAACTACGTTGTCTATAAATCGGACAAACCAGATTCCAAAAATCGACGACAAGAACGTGCAACATTCACACTGATGAAAATGCAACATCCTTGTCGGCTCGTATGCGACTCTTTTTGCGAACATGCGCGACATACCCTGATGGATGCGGGTTTCTGGTTTGCCACGGCCCGTTTCCGCGTCGTATTTCAGTCGCCATCTGTCAAGACGGGGTTGATGCCATTCCAATGCACAATTGCGTCTCACCGTCTAGAAAACAGCCGCTCTGTCACCGGGTTAGGAAACCCGGTGCAATTGGCTCGTCCTTCTATGTTTCCTATTTTCTCGAGATATCGGATCACGACTGAATGGATTTTGCTCACACAACCGTCGTATTCCACCCGCATTGCAAGCTGTAAATAGCAGGATGAGCGATTCATATCATCGTACGACGCATGTCTTGAGAGGAAGTTGAAAGCAAAAAATAGATCAGTGCCGGTGAAGCGGCTTAAAACTTCACTTTTGTATGACTAGACAATGGTATAAATACGGCTGGTGCGTCTAAATAGATACATCCATTGTTCTCGTTGGATGGCTTCGACACGATTATCAAAACTTCTGCAGAGCTGTGGAGAGTACGGAGAATCATCAGTATAGCAATTTTGTGCCCTATTTGCAGCCACATGAACGTTTCTCTTCTTGTTCCCATGCCACATTTTTTCTCACCAACGTTGGATCACGCGTGAATTAACCACTGCGGAAAGTCGACTCTGGCACTTTTACACGATTGGGCTTCCATTTTCAAATAGCAGCTCTACTTTCATCTCTCAAAGTCTTCTGCAGCAGGACAGATCGCGAATAGGCATTTGTTCCTCATTCATGAATGGCTTTCAGTTCTCAGAGTGAGCTGAAACCACGTCGTAAAATAACAGGACACGTGATGTAATGGGCAGGCCCCCAACGCGGATCTCAATGCTTGTTGTTCAGTGTGTCACACTACAGGACAACCTCATATTCCTTGCTTTTGCTGGTCCATGGACCCCCATCCGCCAAAACAATATCTGTAGCCGACAGGTTGAGCTGCACGGGATAGTATATAGCCAAAGGTGTGACCGTGTGACCTTAAACTCCTCTCTTGTCCCCCAAACACTTGGCTAGTGAAGTGAAGGGAAAGTACGAGGAGCCTCCAGAGTGACTTTGTCGAGAACAGACAAGTCATCCCGCGGTAAAGTCTCCACTCATGTTTATGATACACATGGGTGCATGTGGGAAAAAGCTTCAGAGGACGGAGTAATTACGAAATGCTCAAAAATTACAGCGGGCGTGGGGATTAGAACGTGTCCAGCAGCAGGAGGGCCCCCAGGCCCCATCGTTCATGTAATCTTCCTCCACTCACCCACGCGTTGCTCACGCGAGCTGTGAAAGGGCGGGTGTCCCACGCTCAGTTGGGTAAATACCAGAATCGTCCAGAGTCTGGGCTCGAAAGAAACCGGGCTCCTTGGTCGGCTTGGTGGTCAAGACATGCATTGGTCCCGCACCCTCCCACGATGTCCTCCCGAGAACAAAATGATCAAAGTACGGAGAACGACACAGGTGTATCCATCCTGCCATTCTCTTACGAAGAACGACTATGCAGGACCAGGTGCCCCATACAGTGCGTGTCTTTGACCCTGTTTCTCACCCATTCTCTCGCTTCTGTTTGTCGTCTCTTTGCCTAATCAGGCAAAGAGAGACGCCTTGGGTTTTTTGAGGGGGGGCGTCTTGCAGGATGCGAGAATTGGGACGTCCTTGGAAAGCAAGCCACTGCTGAAAAGGAACGGCCAGTCCGAGGAAAACCGTTGCTACAAAGTAAACTCCCTGTTGATGCCGCCAGCCACTCTCCATGCAGATCTAATTTTCTCACCCTTTTCTTTCTTATTTCCTGATATTGTCTCCATCGGACTTTTCATCTCGCTGTATTCTTCGGATATCCACCGGACCACTTTCCAGGTGCGGCTTGGAAAATAGATCTGACGAGGTCCAGTGTCCCACACATCACGAAATATACATGCAGGAGAGGAAGTGGTAAATTCCAGCCTTTCGTTTCCCGTTTCGTCTCCCAGACCATCTTATTTCAACCGAGGTTGTGTTCATCGCAAGATTAGCTTTATGAAAAATTTAATAAAAAATCAAACATATTTTCCGTGGCCGAGATCACGCACGACACCGACGACATCCATCGTGACAATGGCGTGATGTGGGGGCCTTTTGTCAACGATGCCATGGCCTTGCTTCCCAAGAGACTAAAGTAGTATGTCGTAGAGCGGTATCCGCTGAACCCTGAAATGCCACCCAAAAATAATATCCTGCATTGCGTTTGTTGCCCTTGTTTCCTAGTACGTTGTTGTTTTCATATGCACGTCAGCGGGTAATCGGGTTTTCGAACCCTATTGCTGCATAGATGTCCCATGCGTCGGCTCTCTCACCGACTAACCCGTGAATAGCCATCCTTCACCAACCACTCTGCAGAATGCATGATTTTAAATTGAAGAAAATAGATTATTTTCTATGGTGTTGACAGTGTAATTACTATGGAAGTCAAGTTGCTGCGAACGTCGTATAAACACCAGCAAACACAACTGGCCAATGATAGGCTTGCCAAGTCAGGGAAAATCCTGCCAAACTTACACTCCATACGGGGACGAGATCCTCCCTCCTCGTCCCAGCAAAGGACGGCACAGGAATCGTTACGATTCAAAATGCTGTTGACCAACACGGCAAATACCAGGGCTAAAAGTGTCGGACAAACAAAATACAAGCCTCAGATATACTTGCTTGCATCTTCAGTTTGTATCACATTGGCAACCATCAATCTCTCGCTTCTACGTCGCTGTTCACGAAACAAACAAGGTATTAACAAAGAAGATTCGCTATATTCGTATACTAATGAAAGAAAACTAGCAAAGCGCCTAGATGGCAGTTCAATCGATCGCTGAGGAAGAAGCAAGCTCGTCGTCAAAAGCAAATAAACAAAGGGCAGCAGTTATGATCAACGGTCGCCGGTTGCCGATACTCGACAGACTCTCCTCCGTTCCCTCCCGCGACCACATGCCAAGTGACCGGTGTCTATTGTGCAGTCTTGTGCCTTGACGATTTGTTAGCAGTTGCACATACACATACTATCGCGACAGGGTGAAGCGAGCATGTAAGGGGAGAAGATGCTGGGGCAGGGCCCTGGCAAAGAACTTACTTGTTGACAACACGCTCGATGCCGTCACATCCCAGCTTAAGCGTATCCATCTTGGGGCCGTACGAAAAGCGGACAAAGTGGTGGCACGGCGAGTCAAAGAGGTCACGACGGCGCGCCGGGTTCAGATCGAAGAAGATACCCGGGACGACAATGACCTTCTCCTCCAAGCAGGCCTGGAAGAAGTTGAGGCCGTCCGAGATCGGGCCGGGGAGGCCCTCAAGGTTGAGCCACAGGTAGAACGTCGAGTCCGGCACGTACTTGATGACAAAGCCCATGGTGCGCAGCCGCTTGACGACGTAGTCGCGCTTGTCGCGGAAGTGGTGCTGCAGCGCCTTCATCTCGGCACGGACCAGACTGGGCTCAAGCATGGGCACCGCAGCCTCCTGGAAGGGCACGTTGGCACCGCCGTCCAGGTACGAACCGCACGAACCGATCGCCTTGATGAACTCCTTGGGGCCCAGGATCCACGCCACACGCCAGCCGGGAAGACGGAAGCGCTTGGTCAGGCCGTCAATGATCAGGACATCGTCCTCGTCGACATCAATGATATTCTCGGCTGTGCTGATGGTCGTGCCATCGCAGTCGCTGGTGTAGTTGTAGCCCGAGTAGAACTCGTCGCTGATCAGAGTCGCGTGGTCGCGGCAGAGGTCCTGGATCTCGGCCAGCTCGGGATTGGCGACAACGCGGCCCGTGGGGTTGCGGGGGTTCGAGGTAAGGATGACGCCAGTACCACGGGCAATCTCGTCGGCGATCTTGTCGGGGTGGATATGGTAGCCGTCCTCCTCTTTCAACGGGACGGGGATAGCGGCGAACTGGGGTAAAGAAATCCCATGTCAGCGGTGGTCTCACTGTGTTCGGCACCTTGTGTCGATCGAGAAGATCCCGAAATGGTGGGTCCAATGTCATTTCTACGCTATCTCGGAAAACTTACGTTCTTGAAAAGCGACAGCATCTCGTTGTACGCTGGTTGGTTAGTGGGAGTCTTGACCACAGACCAAAGGACGCTCGTGTCGACGTACCTGTGTAATCCGGGATGAAGAAACCAACATAGGCGTTGTTCAGGACGGCAGCGATCCGGATCAGGCCGGCACGGCCACCAGGCACAATGGCCACGTTCTCCCAGGTGTACTGGCTCTCCTTGCCCTTGCGGTGGTGCTCGTTGTACAAGTGTGCGACGGCCTCGCGGAGCGGGCGGATACCGGCAGTGGGGCCGTACTCGCGGCTGGCCACTTCCACGTTTATCGTCGTGGGACGCTCGAAACAACCCTCAATGTCGTCGTCAACTTCGGGGGCACCCTGGCCCAGGTTCGCCCAGTTCTGGGGCTCATCAAGGAAACCAAACTCGGCGGCACGCTCGGTGCACCAGACGACACCGGTGGAAGCGCGAGAAGCATCGAGGCCGGTGTGGGGCAAGTGGCCCTCGTGGGCGGCGCGGAACTGGCGATGGATTTTGCTGCTGGCCTCTGAAACAAGGGCACGGAATCGTTAGTGGAAGCAGCAGAGAAGGAAATCAACAAATACCGAGCGTGAGACAGTGGATCCTACCATGGACGCCCGGCTCGCCGAACGAAAACCGGCGGCCCGGCTTGGGCACACCAGTGTTTCGGTTGATGCTGAACTTGCGGTTGAAAAAATCCGCCATTGTAAAGTGAGGTAGGTAGGATTGTCGTGATGGAAAATTGAAGAAACGAGAGCTGGATTGAAAAGGCAAAGGAGGCAGAGAATAAAGGGCCAGAGGAATCACGGCAGTAGTGGTGAGGGGGCTGAGATGCAGGTCTGGGGAGAGGGGATCCAATAAATATAACAATGTGGATGGACAGCTGGACAGAAGACACGACAGAAAAGGTAAGCAGGGGCACAACAAACGGCGACACCGGCGGGAGTCGCTTCCTTGTCAATATGCGCAGAGTCTGCAGAAGTGTTGCGTGTGGAGGTGTACAGCGTACAGGATATGCAGGAAATGCAGAATATGCAGAATATGCAGAATATGCAGCTGCTCGTTTTGGCTTCACCGACTCGATGCGTGTTGGTCGTGATTCGCACGTTCCGTTTGCCAGCAAGAAGGGTTGCCTTGGGATGGGATGCGATATTTTTGTGATTCGCTGCTGTTTTGTTTGTCCCTGGATGAGGGGAGCTGAAGCTGTCTCGATTTTAGTCTCGAGTCGCCTCGTCTCTTACCGTTTTGTCTCTGCCCGGTCCTGTCAGCGACATCCTTTCTGGCCTTTTCGAGTCCAACGCGAGCTGCCGAGAGCTGGCATCACCTCTGCCCAAAACACGTACGTCAATAGTGGGGACTAGCCCCAAGTCGGCCGGCGGCGAAATGGTGAGCGAGTGGAATTGAGGGGTATTCTCCTGCCTGAACGGATCGTGGTTCGTTCGTTGACTTTTGTTTGTCCCTCCCCTCTTCCTCATTGGCGTTGTTGGCGTCGTTTTGTGACTAAAGAGAACGCCACCGCGAAAGGAATCACGGCACGATGCGTTGAAACAGATCCTTAGCCAATAGTGTGGTCACGTTGAAGCAAATGGGCAGCGACAGAACTTGCGGCCATTATCTTTTCTGTGGCTACAAACCTAGCTCGACATGTAATGTCTACATGGCGATGAGATGGCGTTGGGAAGGCAAAGAGAAAAGGGTCATTGGCATAAGAGGCATGAGAAAATGCGAAGATGTCAAGAGAAGAGATCGGCCGTCACTGTTGCATTAAAATTTACCCCTTTGGGCCCTGATAGCCAGACCAGGTGCAGATTCAGAAGGAGCAGCTGTGGCGTGCCTTTCTTTCCCGATGCGGAGTCCTGCAGGCAGGAAAGGAAACTGCGATGCCTCATACATGCCGCCGAAAGGAAGTACACAAGAAATCAGTGGGAACAACAGCTCACGTTCTTTCCTAAACAACTGCTGTGCTTGCTCGCTGTTTAAATCTTTGTTACTCCAAAACGTTGAAGAGGACAAGATATTTTCTTGGCACGACCTTTTTCAGTGGAGAAATCAATTGCTGGCAAGGTTAAGCAATTGGGAGGATGGGGCTAAATGCAGCAGGACCGACCCAACAGTGAGGGGGAACGAGGGCAAAAAGGCAGCGGTGATCTTGGGGTCGGGCGGTGTGAGCTGTTTGAGGCCCTCGAAAAGACCTTTCGTTAGAAGCAATACAGCGCAGTAAAGTGTCTCGCAAGCAAAAGAGGAGCAATGTTGCTGGTGGAGCAGCAGACCTGACGGCAGCTGCGAGCGACAGAGCCGGCCAATGAAGGAAACGACGAGGGCTCTTTCCGGAAGTTTCAGACAAGTTCAAAGTGCCTCGTTGGGATACGACATGACGCCGTCGCAAGGCAGGAACACCTTACCAGTGACCCTGTGCCTTATCTTCTGCTACGATTTCTTGCGTCCCCGACCAAAAAAAAAAAAAAAAAAAAAAAAAAAAAGACAGAGGCTTGTCCGGATTTCAGTACACCGGACTGTGGCTTGGTCGATTGTGCCTGAGAAGGCACTTTGGTGATTGACCAGAGCCGGGCCAGCAGACCCCCAACGGCTCAGTGGCTGTGAGCAAGCGTAGATGAGTAAGTGGAGCCCTGCGAGAAGGAGCAGCAACACGCTTGTGGAAGGCGCAAAGCAAGCGCATTTACGTTTCGCATCTCGAAGTGAACACCAACCGTACGGAGTTCTGTGGCGGCAAAACAGCGGAGACGTTGGTGCACAATTCTTTGGTGAAGCGTTTACTCGTCCTAAAGTCCAATACGCCGTCTGCTCGCGATTCACAGCAACTTGACGTCAGATCCCAAACCACTCCGTCCCGCATATCCCCGTTCCCCTGGCGCGCGCTGCGCCCCGTTAGGCTTCCCGCTACTTAGTATGGAGGCTGTTGGCGCGCCATGGTGGTCCCAGTTTGCAGACCAAGAGGCTGGCCCTGTGTCGTCCATCACATCGCTCACCATTTCGACCGAAGGTCGAGGTGTAAATGTAAGGACGATCTTCGGGAAACTGGCAGGAGTGATTAGGAACCATGGCGTATGAGACGAGAAAGAGACAGCAAACAGGAAGGAGCAAGCTAAACGGAGTAACGAAAAGGGGAAACTACAGCAGCCACTTGGATCGTCTGTTGGGCCTCGTGCGCGCCTTCCGATCGTCGCCTAAAACATCTGCGATAGGCATGATTCGCCTTGTCTGCGACCAACAGCCTCGTCGTTTCCACGACCTGGCAAGGCACCACAAAACAGTCATTACGGGGTTGCGTATTTTCAACCTTTGCTCTCCGCCGTACCATCTCTGTAAGATTACTTTGGGGAAGTGCGGCGAGGCTAGCAAGTGCTGCTCCCCCGTCCGCCACAGTTGGTCTTTCTCGATTCGGAAAGCGGGCAGGTCGCCAAGAACAGCAGGAGCAAACCTCCGGCAAGCCTTCTCTCAAGGTTGAGCCTCCATTGTGCGCGTGCCCCTCATTGTCTTTCCTTTAAATACCACCCCTCACCCAACCTTGCATCCTTGTGTCACCGTTTCTTGAGGAGAGCATCGTGACGACACTTGCGCCTCCCCAACACCAACCAACATCTTCGTCACCTCTCCTTACCTATTGCATCCCACAGCAAAGAGTTACCAGGTTTGCAGCAGCCATCCTACCCGCAATCGCACAACCACGGAGCTTCCCCCGCCAGCTTAGCCTACTCGACTCAGCGCCAGCAAAACATCGAACTGAGCGCACAAGGAACACTCGACTCACCTTCGTGACAGCACGAAACATGTCCAACAACAACGGCCGCGACGGCGTCCGCAAGTCGTTCTTCGGCTCGCTCAAAAACAGCCTCAGGAAAGGCACAAGCTCAAATGGCGACGGCTCCGTGAGTCCCGTCTCGCCTGGCGGCGCGTCCGCGTCATCACCAATACCACCTGCCAGCCGTGGACTCAGTGCATCGCAGGCCCCGTCTTCCCGCAGTCGCCCGGGCTTCCCAGAGCCAACGAGACGTCCCTGTACGTGTTTCATTCCGCGGCGATCCTAGAGTACTTTCCCTCTCCCCATTTCTAACACTGTTCTAGCCAACGAACCTCCTCCGCCGTACTCGGCGATATCGGAGCTACCTGGAAGTACCCCTGCGGCCGCACCAGCTGCTTCTGCTCCGGCAGCTGCACCTACTGCTGCTCCCGCTCCTCCGGCGATCGGCTTCTCCATCCGCCCTGCCTCACCCACTCCCTCCCAGCGCTCCTCGGCTTCCGCCCGCCCAACCGTCGACAACGTCCGTTCCGCCGAGGACCCCTACGCCTTCCTGTCCATGTTCGACACCATCTTTGTCATTGACGACTCCGGCTCCATGGCAGGGCGCCCATGGCGCGAGGTCCAGGCCGTTCTGGCCAACATTACGCCGATATGCACGCAGCACGACGCCGACGGCATCGACATTTACTTCTTAAATCACAAGAACACGCCGGCTGCACAAGGTGGCGGCGGCCAGCAGGCTCGTGTCCCCCCGGGCAAAGCGGTCGGCGGCTACCACAACGTGACGGATGCCGCCGCCGTGGCGCGCATCTTCCAGACCGTCAAGCCGGGCGGCGCCACCCCCACGGGCACGCGCCTACACAACATCCTCCAGCCCTACCTTCGCTACTACGAGGCCAAGCGGAACGAGATGGAGCAGCGCGGCGAGTACGGGGATCCAGACCCCGACGACATCAAGCCCGTCAATATGATTGTCATTACGGACGGCGTGCCCACCGACGACCTGGACACTGTCCTCGTGCGCGCCGCCAAGAAGCTCGACAGCTTTGACGCGCCCCCCTTCCAGGTTGGCGTGCAGTTCTTCCAGGTCGGCACCGAGGCCGAAGCTGCCGCCTACTTGCGACACCTCGACGACAACCTGGGCAACGACGTGGCCGGCGGCATCCGTGACATGGTCGACACAGTCACCTGGGACGCATTTGTGAGCATGAACCACGGCAGCACAACGGGTGGCAGTGGTCCAAGCACCGCTCTCGGCCTCACGGCCGACGGTATCCTCAAAGCCGTGCTGGGCGCCGTTGTCAAGCGTCTCGACCGCCGGCCAACAGGTCCCTCTGGTCCACCAGCAAATGACTCCAATGTCCACCGATATCTCACACCACAACGTTAACCGCTGAACTACTTTTGACTTCTTTTCTTTTCAGGACATTCAGGTTTTCTTTCACAACTCTGTTTTATTAGATACCCGCTTTCTTTTTGTTGTTGACGGTACAAACACTGTCACTCTTTCCGTTTCGTGCTGCATTTAATTCATGTCATATTAAATACAATTATCGGACATTAGTGCTTCTTGCTCTCAAAAAAAGTTAAAATGGTAGGGTAGGGTAAGCTGGGGGCTTATTTGGCATGAGTGGTTGATTGTTAATTATTTTTACGAATTCAATCCATAAATTTCCGGCGTTGAGTATTTGCTGGATTTGTTTTCATCCGAACCAATTTCGTAACATTTTTGTTTCTACGAATAAGGCAATGCTCAAATCGTCATATCGAAGACACCAGATGAAAGTTTGCTTTGAGGGTGAAGGAGTATTTGCATTTCTGTAACACTATGTTCAGGATATCAAGTCTGTAATAGTCTTTATATCATCACTTGGTCGCAATTGAGGCCATGTATCCCCCACGTGCGCCATACAAGCAGATGTTGTGCGCAAGTAACCGTGCCCCCTAATAACAGACGATGGCCCAGCCCGTAACTCCTTCCACGGATTGTAGGTGAGAAAGGGAAAAGATAAGAAACGGAAACCTGTAAAATTAGAAAACAGACAGAACAGGACGGTTGGTCCAGAGCCAGCACCTCGATTTCTTGTGATAACCATCACCTTCTTGACGATAAGCCGACTAGAAGGAAATCAATCTCAAGCAAAGGGCTGGAATTACATGATATAGGGGAAAGGTACATGACTCAAAGGTAAAGGGTAGACTAAGCAAATAAACTTGAGAAAGAATAAAGGTAAACGAGAAGGCAGAAGACAATAAGATAAAAAAGACGCAGGCAAACGAGATGATAACCTAAGTAAGGCTTTGAATATGGCGAGACCGTGACCCAGGATCGGAAGCAAGCGCATGGCCGACGATGGCGAAAAAAATAAAATAAAAGAAGTCCTGGGGCCATACATAAACAACGCGGGTCATTAGATGTGAAGCTGAATTAAGTCGACTAGTAAAGTAGGAAAGCGAAAGGCGATAGTAACGGTAAGGCGACTGAATGGGCGGGCCTCCGTGGCGCGGGCAGAGTGAATCAAAATATAAAGTCGGATCTTGGAAAATGGCGTCAGTGAAAAAAAAAACGGGAAAACAGAAAGAACTATATCGACAAACTCGAGACAATGTAAACAAGGCGACCCTAATAGTATTGACTGGGAGGAACCTCGCCAGTTACTGCATGAGAAGGACATTGGCCTTGGCCAAGAAGCGCGGGTCCACACTGACACCGGCGTCGTTGCGATACGTGATACCAGGCGTAACAACACACATCACGCGCCAGTGGTGGGCCTGTAGTTCGCGTGATGGGATGCTCGAGTTCAGAGGTCGGTGAGACTGGTCGCTGAACTTGATACCGCATTCGTTGAAGATGAACTGGAACGAGAGGGGGGAGGTGAAGAGTTTGGTGGACAGCTCCACGCCCTCCTCACAAATGATGTGAAGCTCGTGGTCTGCGCTGTCACGATCCACCTTCTCCAAATCCAGCATCGGTCCAAGGATATCCTTGGCGCGGGACATTGCATAGGTCACCTTCTGTGCCTGGAACTTGCTCCAGCTGGGTCTGTTGATGAAATCGCTGATGGCGCGCGAGCGCTTATCGACGAGTGCGTGGCGCTCATGAGGCTGTAGGGCAGCGTCTGTAGCAAAATGAAAGATGTCAGTCCGGCTTCTTGGTATAAATGTACAGCATCACAGTGGGAGTGTGTCTTACCGTATCCATACTTGAAGTCAAGCCTGTGCTTGACACTGATTAGCAAATCTGTCAGTTGCTCATCCATGCCCTCCCACGCTTGTGAGTTCCACATCTGCTGGACAAAAAATTGGATGACAAGTCGTGAGATGAAGAAACTGCGATACGGCTTGTTGAGAAGCATGTAAAGCGCGTGGCTCGAGGCGTTGTGTCTGTTATTCGGGTATGTAACAGTGCATGCATAGTCCCAGAGACGCGGGTGTTGACGGCTCATGTTGTGCATCGCGCTCTCATTGACAGCGCTGCAGTACTTGTCCACCCAATCCTTGATCGAGTTGTAGAAATGGAACATATCATAGACTCGCACTGCATCCAGGCCTCCAGAAGGGTGCACAACACCTGCCGCGAATTTTCCATTGCGCTCCTGGTCATTTCGCACAATTGCCAGTTCCTTGGATAGCGGGGCCGGTGTTTGACCGCGTGTCGAGTTCGCCATCGTAGCCCGGGGTGCGGATGAGCGTCCGTTCTTGGTAAGAAATAGAGGTGGACCAGAACTAACAGCTGGCTCGCTCTTGTTGGGAGGACATGTGCCATTCTCGGCAGACGAAAACGACGAGGCCGCTCTCTTATGAGCATGGCCATTGTTGCCAGGTCCGAAGAATTGTTGCGTTTGCGGGAACGGGGGTTGGGGAGGCGCTTTGAAGGGTCCATTATTCCCTGGCCCAGGGGTCTGCGTGAATCGACGGACTGGCCCACCATTGACAAAATCAGGAGTGCTCTTTCCCGAGCTGCTTGCATATCCACTGGGAGGCCGCGAGATCATCACAGCACCGCCTCTTTTGGCAAAGAATTTTGATTGTTTTCGAGGCCCTCGACTGGCAATATGAGGCGTGTTCGATCTGAGCTGTTGGTTCTGGTTAGGTGCAGTGGGGTGCTCTTGCTCAGCCGAGGAGAAACTACCGTTGACGTAGCCTGGCGGCCCTCCGATGATGCGCCTAGGAGAAAATGGCATGTCTTCAACTTTGTTAGGTAGGTGCGGCATATTTTCGTTCGAGAAATTGTCAAGATACTCTATCTGCCCAGGCCCGTTTCCATTCCGCGGAAGAAATTCAGTCACAGCCCAGCTATCGCTGCTTTTGGCTGATCCGGTCGTTGCCTGTGTTAAGTGCATGCATTAGTCGTTTTCTTCACTGTCGAAAAAATAATAAGACAGATCGGGGTCGTGTGCGCATCAATGTGCGGCTTACCTGATTATCGTTATTTCCCGCTCGGTACTCTTGCATCTCATTCGTCAGCTCATTCAGGCGGCCACGGAGAAACTTGACTTCCTGTTCTGCAGCATCGCGCTCAGAAGCTCTGACATCACGTTCGTTCAAGGCGGACGAAAGAGAGCCCTGTAGCTGGGCACGCTCCGTATTGACGGCCTGCTCCAATCTGGCGCTGGCCTGTTGTGCTGCGATAAAGCACTGTGCAATTCTCCGAAGTTCATCAAACCATCCCTCGCGGATGGTAGAGGTTAGCCCAACTTGGTTGTTCGTCGCTTGTTGGAGTCGCATAATACGGCCTTGTGCCGACTGACACGCAGCCCGGATGTCCTATCAAGAGGTACCATTAGCAGACGCTAACAAGATCACAAGCCAAGCACTAGGCTTCATGTGAGAGAGTAGTAATATACGGCGACATAGCTTCTCACATTGAAGGACCCCGACATTGAAAAGACCGCAGAAGACGTCTGTGGGGGCGTAGGGAGCTGGGAAAGTGAATTGTGGTGGTTGCCTGTATTAGGCTCGTTGTTTGGATGAAAGCTGAGCCGCATATCTGAAGTGAAATAAAGGCCGGCTTCAGACGACCAGTCTGGCGGAGGGGAACGCATGCTATACCATGTGTCAACTAAGCACGCCTTTTGCGTGAAAAATGTAGGTTTGACGACTCACAAACAAAATTGCGTTGAAATACTGAATAGATCTTGGATAAAATGGTTCAAAAGGTAAGTTGCCTGTAAGTTCTAGCCCACAGTGTCAGTTGCCGTGTGCAGGTCATGTCTCAAGAAACGAGCGGTGAAGACATACCGGTGGTGAAAAAAATCCAGTTGCGATAGAGGTTCCAGTGAATTGTTTCACTTCATAGAGTAGAAGCGTGCAGTGAAATAGCGAATGACTGAAGCAAATAAGGGCAGCACAATTCGACAGTGAGGTGCGCGTGAAGAAGCTGCGAATAGAAAAGCGCGAGAGACGACGAAGTTTCGATGAGGCGAAGATCGCAGCGAATGCACTGGGCCGTACGACTCCTCACTCCGAGGCGCCAAAAACTTGAAGAAACGTCGAAATAAAGGGGGACAGCACGAGCGCCAGTTTCGGGAAAGGGGCAGGCCCTGGTATCGTGATCGAAAAGCGTAGGTCTAACCTGGACGAAGCGAAACGCGCGTCAAAAGAAGCAATCCAGATCCAGTGAAAAGATTCAAGCCAAATGCAGGCGGGAAAGTAAAGTGTAAGAAGAGTGAAAACGTACGAGAAGTAAAGGGGCAAGCTTCCAAGTAAGTTAAACGAATGTGTCGAAGCTCCTACCACACAAGTATCTGCTTCTTGTAGGATGACGGATGAGGACGAAAAAGAAGCCAGAACGCCAAGAATAGAAGAAAGAGAAAAGGAGGAGAGGGTGAAGGGAAGAAGAAAAATAATCTGGGAGGGGTAGACTTAAGTACCCACGCACAAAAATATTGGCCAAAACAAAAATTAACGAGCACCACGCGGGGGAAGGGCGTCAAGAGAGAGTGCAGTCTGGTGGCGTGTTGCTTAACTTGGCTCAAAAAGTTCTAGGCCAGAATCGAGCCGCGTCTTGTGAAACGTCGGAAGCTTGGTGGAAGCTCTTGTTTATGTGATTCCAACAGTCATCTGAGCAGGGCAGTAAATGGCAGGATGTTGCCATCACTTCTCTCTGCTGTCCTGCTTTGTATTTGGCTCCCCATAAGGCTGGTAATACTGGCCTTCTTCCAGATACCGATATTGATATCGCCCAGGCAGCGTCTCTGCCGGCTCCTCGGATGTTGCTCTGTGAGCTGAAGTCGAGGCGAATCGATGCGAAGCGCAATACAATGACAGCGAAAAGAGAGGCTCGCCAGAAATATTATACGCCAGAAAAGCGACTGAAGAAATGCAATTGCTTGAGGCACAGGAAAAGAATCAACTGGGAATGGGAGCTGGCCATCGGCCGTCTGGCCGTGGTGTGTCCGCGGATGGCAAAGGGGGCTTCGTTAAAAGAACCTTAACTGTGGACTAAGGATGATCTTGATGGAAAGGTGAGAAAAGAGTCAACATTTTCTGAGAATATGTCCCCAGAGAAAGGGGGCAAATTTTGGTTCCTCAGGGCGGCTGCCTACCAAGTGAGGGGCGCAAGTGGTGGGTGGCGCCTCCCTTTTTTGTCGACGTTGGAAAGTAAACAAAGAAGGCAAGAGTGATGGACTTACACAAAGAGAAGGAGCGACTAGCCTCGCCCCACTCTTTTGGCCGTTTGACAACGTCAGGTACTCCAACCATGACCACAATTACATCTGTACACCTGCACACTGGTCCAACGAAAACAAAGATGTATGAATTGGCTTCTATTGAACTTGAAGTAATTTTGATTGAAATATGATACGCGACACAAGCTTAGACAATGGGATTAAAAACATAAATCACCTGCAGTAGCTATAGGCAAAGGAGCCTTGGGTTATGCGCTGTGCATCCGACGACTGGAGACTTTGTATCCGGCATCTGAAAACCAATCCACGCGAGTCGTAGCAAAAGCGACAGCAGACAAGCAATCCGATAAGCAGGTTTTTGGGGGAGGAGCCAGAAGCAAATGCAAAGAACTCCATAACCAGGGCCGGCGGGCTTGCAAGGGCAAAGCATGCCATCTGTGAGAAGAAAGTGAGATGAAAAATGCCGTGAATGTGACGAACTGGAAATTTCTCAAAATAAAAAGAAAGGCGAAATAATTTGACGTGGACAGAAATTGACTTGCAGGCGTAAATGCAAAACCAGCCGAGATGTCTGTAGAGACAATGCGACGGAAGATATCGGGATTTTCGAAAAGGTACTCGATCCTATTGAGGAAAGCACCAGTCCGCTGTAAAAATTCTGGAAAAAAAGAGAAACGTGAAGTTTGAGAAATGGCCGCCGCGTAACAAAGGATACAAACTACCGAAAGATTATTGGAAGGAAGAACGCCGGGTACCGAAGCAATTGACAAAGGCCGTTATTGAGAGCGCGAAGCGTCTCTGGAGAGGGATCGAAACTAGGTAAATGATGAAGCCCGTTGGCCAAAACGACTAAGATGAAGGCCATTGTATCAAAAAAAAAACCTGGTTGCTGCTCAAAATTGATAGCGCTGCTGAGACAGACGAAGGAGAATCAAAGTCGTTGAAGAGAGAGGACGCCCAAGTGCTAACCTCGCAGCAGTGGCAGGAGGAAGAAAAGACCTGTACAATCCGAGTGAGAAGCTGCCCTCAGATAAAGATTGAGGAGTGCAAACCGGTCTGGAAGCATTGAACAGCCTCGGTTGTGCCGAGATGGGTACCCTTTATGGCGGTAGGGGGTAGCGGATATACGGAGATCGAAAAGAGAGAAAAAAAAGACAAGGTTAGCTTCCGTTCAACTCCAGGCGACGATGATTTACATCGCCTTGGACCGCGAAAACAAACTGCTGTAGACGGCATCAACAACGGGCGCGGCAGTGATCATACGACCACCAAAGTAACGGCCGTTGAGACCCTTGATGGCGTTCTCGCCGCCCTGCACCTTGTCGAACTTGAGGTAGATGTCGCCGTTGGAGTTCTGGTCGAGGGCCACGTGCAGGACGTGGCCGTATTTGTCTTCGGCCTCTTGGCGGACGTCGTCCTCCAGCTCCTTGACCCAATCGTCGCCCTCCTCCTCGGCGGCGTCAAACATGTTGTGCAGGACCACGCAGCGGCTGGCCAGGTTCACGTTGACGCCGACCGGGAGCGGCTTCGGGTCGTTGCGGGGCTTCATAATCGGGCGCTGCTGCTCGACGGCGTCGCTGCCACCGTTCGCAGTGTTGTAGCCGTTGTGGCCGGCACCGTTGGTGGCAGGCGACGACGACGAGGTTCCAACGTCATCGGTCCTAGCGAGTTTTCTCATGAGAGCATCTCGGCTGTAACTATTGAAGTTGACGCCAGCAACATCCGTATCATCCAGTGCACCAGCACCACTACCTTTGTCGCTATCGCGGGCGCCCGCGCGGTCGAAATTGCCGGAGGCGCCACCATTGCCACGGCGGTCCGCGTCGCGGCTGTTGCCGTTGTGTGCTTGGTCGCGGCCCTGGAATCGCTGCATCAGATGAGCAGTAGACTCGGGGGTAAACTTATCGTTTCCGAGGCCGACACGAATCGGACGTCCTGCCAAATCAAAGCCGTTCATCTTCTCGAGCGCCTCACGCGCCTGGTTGCTATCGCGGAATCTGCCAGCGGTTAGTATGGAGTACAGAGACATACAAATATAACAGGAGGGGGAAAGAGCCGGGGGGGGGGGGGGGGGGAGATGGGGAGAACATACTGGACAAAGCCGTAACCACGGCTGCGGCCGGACTCGTCTTTCTGCAGCTGAACAAACTCGAGCTCGCCAAAAGGCTCGAAAACATTGCGCAAGTCGGACTCAGTAATGCTAAAGTGGATGTTGCCGACGTAAAGCCGGTGAAAGGGCACGCCCGTGGCGTTCCCGCCGGTCGGAGTTTCTGCGGTGTTACGTACTTGCCGGTTCTTCTCAGCCTCCGTGACCTGGACAATAACAGGGATACCTAGCAGTTTCTGGCCTGTGAGCTGGAGCGCCGCAGCAATCGTGTCTTCACTCTTAAATTCAACATAGCCGACACTAAATTGTTAGCAGGGAATATATCACAAAAGAAAAAGAACAAAGAAAAAAAAGAGCCAATGGGAAAGAAGACATACCCCTTTGAGCGGTTGCTCACGCGATCTTTGACAATCTGAGCCTCGGCAACAGGGCCGGCCTTTTCGAAAAACTCCTTGAGCTCGCGCGTCCGCAGACGGGCCGCCAGCTGTTGCACGAAAACAGTCCGTCGATCGCGCTCACCGACGGCCGGTGGCGATGCAGAGCGGCCGCCGCCGCCACCACGACGCGACTCCCGCGACCGATCGCGTCCGTACCGGTCAACACGGTCGCGGGAACGGTCACGGGGCGAGCGGCCACTCAATCGGTCATCGCGATCGCGCCTAGAGTCGCGTGGCCGGTAGTATCTGTTGGGAGAACGCGACCGCGAACGGTCACCGCCACCGCCATGGCCGCGGTTGCGCCGGCGCCGCCGAGGGCTCCGGCTCCGGCGCCGGCTGCTGCGGTGGCTGCCCGCCTCGCTGCGGGCTGGTGTGCGTTCACGGTCGTCGCTGTGGACGTAAGAGACATCGGCGCCGGCACCTCCGCTGGTGCCGTTGGCGTTGCCGCGTGGGCTCTGGCTGCGCGGCTCTCGCCGTCTGCGATCACGATCACGGTCAGCTCGATCGCGATCGGCACGTTCACGCTCACGTTCGCGGTCACTGCGTGGCGAGCGGGAGCGCGTACGGCTCAGGCTGCGGCTCCGGCTGCTGCGTCCGCTGTGATGACCGTTGGCCGTATGGGCGCCGCCGTTGCGCGCGTCGTCGATGCGTGGGCTGCGTCCGCCGCTGCGGTCTTGGCCGTCGCCGCTCGCGGCGGCGTCGAGAAGGGCCTCTACATCTAGGTGAGCCATCGCTCTCGTATACTAAAACAAATCGTAGATAAGAGGTAACGTGCTGAGTGGTCGCTGGTATTGCTCACGTCGGAGAGGATGGATAGATTACAGAGAACGATGGAGCCGAATGGAGACGAGATTGAAGTTTGAAAGAGGAGACGCATAATAATTGCCGCTGGGATTTGAGAAGGCAGTCAGCGGACAAGCCAAAAGGATTGCGGTTAAAAAGTGGGGTTGGGGCGAATCTCATGTAAAATTTGCAGTCAGTCATCAATTAATGCTAGCACGTGACGCTAAGTCGTTGGCATTCCATCAGAGCATCATGATCTACAGTCAAAATGCAAATACAAAACAATTGTCTTGCGGGACATAATTTGGCTACTTTTTGGCTCAAAATATCATTAATATACACCGGACAGTGTCAAGAATTATTACAACAGGTATCTCTCAAATTAAGCCGTTCTCCAGGCTGCGTGCGTCGCAATGCTCGTTCCCGAGTCACTCTCGGGTTTTTTTGTTTGATAAATGGAAGAGACAAAATGAATAGACGTTCCAAAACTCCGCAAAATACAAATTTATTTTCCCGTATCAAATTCGTGTCACCGTCTTGCTCGCAAGGTTGGCGTCTGTTGGAACATTGTGAGATTCGTCGGTGCATGCGCAACAAAGGTGCTTTGAGGTGGGAGCCAGAAACGGCCGACGTCCTGCTCGACCGTCAAGAAGAATGCCGAGCCATTTATTGCGACTTGACGACTGGGGTCGCCATCTTCAACTCGGTGCCAAAGACGACGTCCCAGAAGCGGCTGGTCACGCCAAAGCCCAGCTCGTAGTCGAGGAAGTGGTGGGCAAGGTGGTACTTCTTGAGGTCCTTGTACCAGAGCGGAAGGTTCTGGTGGTGCAGGAAATAGTGGGTGAGGTCGTAGCAGATGTAGCCGAAGACGCCGCCGCAGTAGGCAGTGGCGGCGACGTACCAGTCGTAGTAGAAGATGGTGTGCGCCAGCTTCCAGAACGGCGTGGCCAGAGCGACGAACAGGGTCGGCGGCATGACCAGGCGATACTTGTCCATGGGCAGGTAATGGTGGATGCCGTGGAGGAGGAAGTGCAGCGTGATAAACACGCGGTTGTCGGGAAGGTATCTTGCGAAAATATGTTAGCATGGTCATAGGGAATAGAGACCGTCAAGAAAAGCACAAAAACTTACTCGTCCAGGTGGAACAGGAAGCGGTGCATGATGTACTCGATCAGCGACCAAACGGCAAAGCCGAATACAAAGAAGCCAGCCTGGATAACGGACGACGTGAAGCCCACATTGGCATAGTAGAGGAGCGCCAATACGCAGGGAATCCAGAGCGTCGGGATCACCCACCACGGCGTCATAGACAGTGGCTCGAGGAAGTTGCCAAACAGCGGCGCCGACGCACCGCCCTTGTAGTGCCGTGGGCGGTGGACCTGGTCGAGATAGAAGGCCTTGGAGAAGCCGCCGTTCCAGACCTGCATCAGCAGCGGGCGGTTGAGGTCCAAAAACTTGTGCTTCTTGAAATCGGAGACGGCGTCCGTGTCCTTGCTCAGGTCCTCCTCGCAGGACATGCCGGTGCGCGGATGCACGCTCCGCTTCTCGACATCGGAATCGCTGGCATACTCGGCGCCCGTGGACTTGCCATTGCCGCTGGCGCCCGTCTTGCTCGAGCTCAGGTAGCCGACGATGGAATCGTCAAGCACCTCGTACGCGGTCTCGGAATGTGCGTGCGAGATCTCGTCCTTGAGGATGGCGGCGATGTCCTTGCCTGCGTAATCGAGGATCAGGTCGGCGCCGCCGGGGTGGGATTCGAGGAAGTCAGTGACGTCGTACACGGTCTCGCCGACGAGCACATAACACGAGTCTTGGTTGTTGTGCTTCTCGACCTCAGCGGTCGTGAAGGTGGGAAGCGTGCGTGCAGGCATGGTCGAACGCGTTGTGGAAGGGGTTAATAAAGAGGCCAAGGCCGAGGCGGGGGGCCGTACGAGGCGATATATGAATCGTTCCAAGGACGAGAGGCGGTGCAATTGAAGAGCCAAGCGACGATACGAGGGACGAAGCAATGCGAGCTGTCGAGATATCGCGAGAAATGAAAAGAGCGACTCAAAGAAGAAGCGGAGGCCGCGGGACAGGTGGCAAGGCGCTGCGAGAAGAACGACAAAGTAAGATTACAACGTTGAGCAGAAAACGAATGACAACAGGAGACGACAGAGAAAAGTAGAAATGAAAAGGGTTCGAGATCGACGAAAAGGCGGATGTGCTCGGGATAGATGAACTGTTCAGAACAAGAACACTAGGCTCCAGGAATGAAAAGGGGGTCTACAATGCCGCAAATAGTGCTGTATTACAGGGCGATCGCCCCTGTCGTATCGAATTTTTAAAATACTAAATTAATAAAATCTCAAATTTTCTGGCAACACCTCTGGTCCAGGTAATACGGAGACGGAGTGCGCGGGTGGCGTGGTCGTGTCTTATCCGGTGGAGGAATCTGTCGCGACGCGCCTGTCTCCCCAGAAGGCCACGCCCCTGAAAGTTTAAACAGCACAAGCCTATCACCAAGCGCACATGAAAGGTCGTAAGATTTTGTGGTGCGGAAGGTGCGGGTGCCGAGGAAGGGCATGTGGCGTTACTTTCAGGGCGGAATGGCCCGACAAGGCCCTGTATGGTGTGAGTTTGGTGGCAGTTTGTCACACCCAATCAAAGTTTTTATGGTGTCTACAGGGCACTTTTGTCACAAAGTAGGATTAAACGTAAGTAGGCCAGCGCGGTAGACGGCACTTGCTATGGGGCATCTAGCCATCAGTGGCGAAGAGTTCATACAGCAGCTAATCTCATGAAATTTTGCACTGTATGTATACTGTGCAATTTAATTGGCCCCAGCAGATATGGTCAAAATGCCACAGTACGCGCACGGCCTGTCGGATTAAGGGGCCCGGGATGTTAACATTGCCGCCGGAGCGGAATCAGATACTGGCAATGGGTGTCCCGGTGCTCTGAGAGAGCAAAGGCCGGAAGAACAGCTAGTTTTTCGATGTCTGTTTTCTGCTGCTCTTTCCAGTAGATTTGCACTTCCCAAGACTGGTTTGTCTATGCTCAGCCCTCCAATCTCGGCATTACGGAGTACAGTGACGGAAAGCACGGCTGTGAGCCACCTCCAGCCGCCTGGCAACGCCTATCACACGGCATCTTGGCTCAACCACCTTGACATCATCATAATCGTGGAAAGCCGTAGAGGCACATTCTGTCCTTGAGTCAAGCCGTTCTGCGGTCTTCCAGCCTCATCACTAGCGATTTATTTATCAACAAATTTTAGAGGTTAGGGAAACTTCATTATTAAACAAAAAAGTAACATAACGCCCTTCTCGTGCTCTGCCATCCAAGCTGATTATGAAACCAAACTGAAAATAACAGCCAAAGGGCAAGACCCAAAACAAACCAAAATCAAAACCAGAAGCACCGCGGAATCGCAAAACAAATGTGCCTTCTGTCCCATGTTCCGTCGTCCATCGTAATCATACACCAATCCCCGCTCACCACGCCCGCTGTGGCCTGCCTACAAGAAGCCCTTGGTCATACTCGGGGCCCGTGCGCGGCCAATACTGCTCTTGCGCTTAGGAATGTCCGGCGACAGTTCCGGGTCCGTGGCCGACGATGTCGTAGAGGGCGCGGACGAGACCGCAGACAGTACCGTGCGTGTAGTCGCCGTTGATGCCGTGTGGCCCAAGACCGACGACCGGAACGTGTTCTGTGTGCCCGTCCGCCGCATGCTGCCACCAGCAATGCTGCCACCGCTCACACTGCCGCCGCTACCAATGTTCTTCCAGCTGTCCAGCTCCCGCTCGAGACGCAGAGCCTTCTCCTTCTCCTCCCGTAGCTCGCGCTCGGCCCGCCGCGCCGCGAGCTGGATGCTCGACTCCGATGCCTGAAGCTCGTCGATCGTCTTCAGCAACTTGTCGGTCTTGTCGCGCATCCGCGTCACGTCGTCCTGCAGCTGTCCATTCTGCTTCTCCTTGCGCTCCAGCTGGCCCTGCAGATCCTTGACAATCCGGTCCACGTTACGGACCGACCGGTTGGACTGCGCCTGCTCGTGCTCATGCGCCTCCAGCTGCGTTTCAAGCTGTGCAATGTTAGTCCGGTGAACAACATTCACATATGCGAGGGCATGATGATGTAGGTAGTCTTCTTACCTCTTGAACGCGCTTGTTCAAGAACTTAATGTCTTGGCTGGCGCTTGAGTAGCCCTTCGTCTCGAGGTCCACCAGCTTGACTTGCACCTCGCTGAGCGTCTTCTCTAGCGATGTCTTCTGTTCTTGCAGCTTGGCGCTCGCCTCCCGCTCCGCTGTCATGTCCTTTTGCATCTCGGCAACAAGAGCTTCGGCACGGCGCATTTTCTCCACAGCAGCCGCAGCAATGTCCTCTTGCTGTGCAAGGCTGGACCGCAGATCCAACATGACCTTGTCGGTATTGGCCGCATCCCGGAGAGACGGGCTGGCGCCGCGGGCGGCGAGCTCCTCCAGGCCGGTCTTGGCCTCCTCGAGACGCGCCTCGACGCTACGCTTCTCACGTACGAGCGAGTCGCGTTCCGAGGTGACCTCGTCGACGGCTGACCGCAGCGTGCGCACCTGGGAGAGCAGGTTGACAATGCGGCCTTGTGCCTCGTTGTGGGCCTGCACGGCCTCATCACGCGACGACACGACATCCGACAGCGTCGTCTCCAGGCGCGTCTTCTCCTTGGCCCACGTCGAGCTGTTGAGCACCTCGTCGTCCCACTTGGACCGAAGCTCCTCCAGCTCGTCACGCAGGCGGCTGATCTCGGCCTGCTTGAACAGCTTCTCCTCGCGCGCCAGGTCGAGCTCCTTGGTGAGTGTCGCAAACTCGGCCTGGTACTTCTTGCGCGTCTGCTCCATGCTCGTCTCCGTGTCCTCGATGTCCATCGCACGCTGGCTGCGGTAGTCCTCGAGCTCGTGCTGCTGCCGCTTCTTCGCCTGCGTCACCGATTCGAGATCAGTCGACAGGTCCTCGAGACGCTCCTCCAGGCGCTGGTTTTGCCGCTGCAGGTCCTCCACCATTGTGTCCATCTTCTTGCGCTGTGCCATAACCTCGGCGTAGGTCTCTTCGGCCTCGCGGGCCTGCGTCTTGGCGAACTGCTCGGCTCGTGTTGCCTTAAGAACGGCCATCTCAGCTTGCTCCAGCTTGCCAAAGTACTCGTCGGCACGGCCCTTGTACAGGTTGAGACTCGCCGTCACATCAACGAGTTTGGATGATTCGGCGTCGAGGCGGATCTGCAGATCCGCAAACTCCTGCAGCAACTGGTTGCGGCTCGCAGCCTCCTGCTCGCGGGCCTGGCCCATCTCCTGCAACTCCGACTTCGCATCGCGGAGGTCGACTTCCATCTGCGCACGGTCATGGCGCAGCTTGTCAAAGTGCTCCTTGATGTCAGTCAGCTCGGCAACGGCGTCCTTGTGGCTATGAAGTAGAGATCGGCGCGACTCTTCTTGGCTGTTAAGCAAGTCGAGGATCTCCTCGTACGACCGTGCCTGGATGTCGTGAAGTGAAAGCTCGCCGGTACGCAATGCCTTCTCCAGCGCCGACACCTTCTTCGCAGAGTCGTCGAGCAGGTCGTGCAGCCGACTGTTAGCTTTTTCAAGCTTCTCAACACGGCTGTTGTTGTTCTTCGAGCCATCGTTGGTGTTTTTGGCGCCTGCCGACTCAGCCCGCTCCAGCTGGCTCTGGAGGTGCCGATTCTGCATTTGGGCAAGCTGCAGCTGGTTCTGGAGCTCTTCCATTTCAGCCTTGAGATCCATGCGATTGTTGAAGCTAATAATCTCTGCCGTACGGTCCGAGCGTGCAGAGTCGGGCATGGCAGAGGACAGTTGTCGTGGTGGCGTCAACGCAGTGTTGTTCATCTGGCTATTGGAAATGCGGCGAGTACCGCCTGCCTTGTTCTTCTTGGTATGTGTCGGTGAACCGTTATTGAAGTAAGGGGCCTCATTGGGGCTGATCTCCTCGAGGAGGCCGCGCTGATGCACGGGAGACGACTGCTGCTGCGCGCGAAGGTCTGCCAGTTGAGCCTCAGCATTACTGCGGCCCGCTTGCTGCACACGAAGGTCCTGCTGCAGCTCCTCGATCTTGCGCGCCAAGTCGAAGAAGTCTTTGCTGGTAGGGAAACGCTCCTTCCCACCTTCGGGGGGCGCATTCACCACGGGCGATGCAGGATCCACCGTTTTGAGGATGCGCAACATCTGGCCACGTAGATCTGCGAGCTCCCGGTCGCGCGCTTCAAGGGTTGCTTGAACCGTCCGAAGAGTGCCCTGGGCTTGGCCGCGCAACTGGCGCTCTGCCTCCATGGCCCGGTTGACCTCAGCGAGCTGCGACGTTGCGTTGGAGGACACCTTCTCGGCATTGCGGCTGCTTTTGACCTCGCGAGCCACTTCATGGTTCATGTCCTCCAGGTCCAAGTTCAGCTTCTCCACCTTCTTCTCGAGAGATGCGGACGTCATCTGCGACTCGCTGAGCTGCTTGTTCAGTTTATTATTAAGCTCCTCAAGGCGCGCCTTTTCACGCTGCAGAATCTGAATCTGGCCACGCGAGGCCTCACCTGCGCGGGACGTAGATCGGGCTATCTCCAGACCCTTCTGCTGAAGCTTGTTAAGCAGGGCCCGGTTGTCATTTTCGGATGCCGTCAAGCGGCTCTTGACAGTCTGAAGCTCACGCTCCATCCGCTCCTTGGCCTGGTCGTTCTTCAGGCCGAACTCGCCTGACGATACAATGAGCTTGTTCAGTCTCTCCACTTCGGAGCTCAGGCGAGCCCGCTCGCCCTCGAACCAACGCAGGCGCTCTTGGGCGGCATCCAGGTCACGCAGGAGGCTCTCCTCACGCTCTCTGGCCATGCGCAGGGCTTGGCGCTCGCCGGATGTTTCAGCCT